TCAACGAAAAAAATTATTTGCAAATAATATATTCTCTTCTTATTCTATTCATTGGGGAATTCACAAAACAAAAACAAAAGACCTTTACTACTTTAATTACTCATAGCTTTGAAAATATCATAATTTATGCAGATATCAATACTCAATTATTTTTGATTTATGCAATATGCCAGATTTTCAAAACAAGCATTTACACATTTTCTCAGCATAGCTACTTATTCACACACCATGAAAATGAACTATAGATCTTCACGATTTGAACCTTTGAACAGGTGTGAATAATTTCTTATATGAAGAGGCCATATAAAATGTGTTTTTTAGGCATGAGGGTTTCAAAAAACATAATTTAATGTTATGGTCAGCAATTTAGATTTGTAATAAATATATTAAAAAATGATTTCATGCGGCGGTTTCTTTCGCATCTAGCTCAAATAAATCCCAGCTGGGAGGCATAATTTTCGATCACTTTTGGCAGCAATTAAGCCGTAAGCCAGCAGTAAGCCGATAAAAAAAAATGTCGCATGAGAGTGATAATAATCCACAAGTTGGCTATAATTTTATAGTTGATGGAAAGCGCTGTGGGCCACAATTAATGACTTTTTCCGGACTTAGTTGGAAGATGTTGATGCTGGGATCAACTTAGGTTCCAACAAGACAACAACACACAGCCAACGAAAAAATTCATATATTGATGGAAACTTTTGGTCAGCGCATTATTTCGAGTCGTGATTCTGTGGCGTAATCTTCAGGACCGGGCGACTGAACATCACTGGACAACTTTTTTCTTTTCTGGTTTATATGTAGTCACTAATCTACGCAGCTAAACTAGAGAAGATTGACATCTTTAAAAATAACATTCGAGGCGCATTACTGCTGATATACGGTCCCAGTGCTACGAAAAGTGGTCGAATATAGCATTTTTAATTTGAAAAACGTAATGTCTTGGAAAAATAGCCGCGAAGCTGAGTGTAAGTCTTAAAATCATATCAATTTCATCTAAACTCGAAATTTAAATCTGACCACGAGAATTAAAAATAAAATATAATTATATTTAATTCTATGCTAAAACTGAAAATTAACAAACAATATGCAATTGATACACCGAATTTTCAACAATACTGATGAATTGCTCGTTGTAATAGGAATTAATGTAGCGTAATGGAGTGAAGAGCTGATCTCAAATGCTTTCAAAGGCATATATGTATGTATATGTATGCGTGTTAATTAATCACAACTTTTCATTTCATTATTTGCCACTTTGCTATACTAGCACAACCCACATTTGGAGAAAAAGAAAAAAAAATACTCGCTTTGTTGATATTTTTTTACACGATATTGCAAACGTTCCGCTTGCTCATACCGGATGTTAGGAAGTGATAAGCAACAGAAACGAATATAATACGACACTGATTTGAAAGTCGCACAAAAATAATAATAAAATACCATTGATGGATAGTAACAAAGTCGATATGAAATACGAGCTATCTGGATTATAGTCACACATATGTACATACGTATGCACAGGGTGTGTGTTGCAACAAGCCTTAGCACATATACATACAAGTATATATCTCTAATAATGATTTCCTGCAGTGAAAAAACGGACTAGTATGCAAACTCACAAGTTAAATTTGAACATTTTCAAGTGAAACTTAATCTCTGTTAAAGATCCCGTTGTTGTTGCACGCTGTATGCTTTCGATGGCCGAGTGTTGGGATGTTATCATTTAGTTTTACTCTAGAAATTCAACACTCCGAATTGGACTGGTATACAACTAGTATAAAGCTGATGCATAGTCGGATAAATCACAGTTCGTATCCTAAAAAATACCACTCGCTTTGATAGAAAATAGTGGATTATAAGCTAGTTAGTAGCATTTTTCCTAGTAAAAAACTATTATGCTTTCCTGCAGAGTTTTTTCCCCAAACTATTAACCAAGGAAGTTGGTGGTTTTAGCACTTTTTGCCCTGTGCCTCGCTTGATTTATGTTTCACCACGGATGGTCATTGAATCATAATTATTTATGCGGCTATAATTATTTAAGCAATCTGTAATCAAATTTTTTTCTGCTAAAATAGTAAAGGCCCAAACATATTATTTGATTTTTTTTTGTTCTCTGTGCCATAAGATATACAAATTGGTCATAGTAATATTATCTGCATGCAAAACAAACGATGGATCATAATAAAATATTATTTTCTTTGTTTAAAATTTTATTTACATTCACATACACAATGTACTCGGAAGACCAAACAGTGGATCAAATTCAAATTAACAATTTTAATTTCAGTGAAAGAAATATCTAACGATTTTACAGAATATCTAGCAATAATAAGGATTTTCATTTTTTGAACAAAATATTATATTGGTTTATACGTTTATAAAATGGTTCACATTAGAGCACCTTCCAATCCCTGAAACACCTTTTAAACTCGATCTTCGAGATAAGTGGCGATGCCATTTTATTTAACTCTTAACTGCTAGAGTATATACTATATTACATATGTATGTAACTACTATAGTGAGGCCTTTTTTGAACCCATCCAAAATTAAGAGTAAAAATTTAAAAAAAACCAAGTATCTGGGTAGTAAAAGAAATCATTTTGTATAGAAATAAAAATAAATATATTATAAAAAAATTCATAAAATAAAGCCTTTAATAGAAAAAGAATAACAATAATTAGCAGAATTTAATGTAGTTTAACAATGAATGATGCATTTTAAAAAATATTAGATCCTCTTGTTCCTGTAATCGATCTCCAGAAGGGCCCCCAAAAAAAGGTATCTAGCGGGGAGGAAGATATTTCTGCTTCAAAATAACTGGAACCCGAAAAACTAAACACAAATAATATTATAAAGGATTAATACAAATAATGATCAAAAATTTTAATTTTTAACAAAACGGCGGCCTTTAAAACAAATATTTTTTTGTCCGAAATTCTACACCACAAAGCGGTTTAAAAAATTAAATTATTGTCAATAATTGTATTCCGTAGATCATTACCTAATAAATATTTCATAGAAGGCCGTGTGAAAATTTTAAGCCGATCGGTCAAGCCGTTTCAGAGAAATTTTCCTCACCGACGCAGAAAACATCGTATCGAGGAACGCCACGACCCATCCTTAAATGATACGATCATATCTCTGTAATTGTTTGTCGGTTCAACTTCAGATTTTCGGAAAATATTTTCAAATAAATGTGCATGCAATTATTGAAAATTACAAATGGTTTTAAACTCTTAAGAGTTCTGGCAGTAATAATTTAAAAACGAAAACTTTTGGGGTTCGGCTGAAAAAATGAAAGCGCCACTTTTCATTACCTATCGTTGCAGTTACTGCAGAAGATTTCATCGAATGACTATTGCAGATTACGTGTTAAGGCGAAATTCTCCTATGAACACATATTAATTAGTAGTCGAAGTTCTCTTGATAGCGTTGGAATTTCAGCGATCCTTCTGTGCACATCATACTGCCAATGGCCACCAACGGCACCTTCTGCCTATCCTATACAGCGCTAATGTGGTTTTAGGTCCTTTATGCATCATTTTGCAGAAGTATAAAATAATATTATATCGTTATTCCGATATAAACCGAAATTCAGTGACTTGGGTTTGATTCGACTCCTTCACAGTAGTTGCAAGTTAATATCATCTACATATATAAAACGACAGCTCTTTAAGGTTTGAGGTAGACTTGAGCTAGACGCATTGTCATAGCTTTGTTGTTTTCCATAAGCCCGGTCGTTTTTTAGTACTTTTTATGGACACCTTGATTTAGCGGTAAAAATTCAAAGCAAACTGTGCCTTAAAGGGGTTGCATCTAGTTAGAATTTTCAAAAAATGTTTTTTTAAGTTAATTTTCGTAATGTAAATGCACTTGAATAAATACTCTGAAAATTTCAAATTGATCACTATTATTTTCGAAGTTAAGCGTTGGAGCATTTGAAAGCGATAAGCCTCGGTTTAACCTCGTTTTTCTCAAAACGGCTTAACCTATTAGTCTCAAATTATTACATGGGTTTAGGAAAAATATTTTCTAGTACTCGATGTCGAAGGTTTTTCATTACCAATGAATAGTTTTTTTTTAATGCGCAATTCAAGACCGAAATTATGGAAAAAAAATATTTTTTTTTTCGTCAAAAATTTGCAATACATTACTCAAAATCGAAATCCGTTCGATTTTTTCATTTCAGATGATTCACTTCAGAAATATAATGGTCACCGCATAACGTCTTAATTGGGAGGGGTCCCTGGAGATCTGCTGTAGCAGCTTCAAAAACTGTTATTTTTATAAATAAAAAATTGCTAACTAATTTTAAAAGGTGCCATAATATGTGTAAAAATGCTCGAAATAATAAAGCCAAAAGTTTCCTCGTGAAAAATGTTTGAAAAATCTTTACCCCTTAAAATCGAAGAACACATTGAGCATATCCTTCATGTTCGATCGCTATTGCTATCCTGTTTTAGTGTTGGAAAAAAACGAAAAAAAATTTATTTGTGATAACTTCTTCAACGTAAATATTTCAGCTTAATGCTGCATCGACCCATCTAACATATCCTCTGTCCATAACAGCCGACTGTAATAGAATACACAGACACTCGTCTTTTCTGCGGGACTGTCAGTAACGGCATGGGCAAGCGGTGTCAACTTTGTGTTTACATGGCGCTCTCATAAGATAGGTTGCTATGGACGGAAGGTATGTTAGATGGGTAGTTGCAGCATAACGTGATAGACGCTTCTCTCCATCAATTTAGCCCAACGTAGCCTTTGAAATAAAAACAATCCACCCGATTTGTTTCACAATGCTTTTCATTTTCCACTACATTTAAATATAAATATATAAATATTTTATTTTAACTCTTAAATTTATGACAGTATTTAATTGTTAATTAAAGTACGTCACTCTCAAATATTTATAATAAATTAATTTATAAACAGCTAAATAATGCTTAAACAATGTATTCATCATTTCTTCTGAAAAATTAACATTTGGCACGCAGATTATAAGACTGCACCACTGTACCGAGTGTAAACGCCGTTGAAGCTATCCATTGGCGATTGCCACTTTGCGTCATTCAGTCTCGTCTGTGATACGATCGCGGATGGCGTTAAAATTATTCGGAGGCTGACAACAATTGGTACTTATTGCAATTGTGAAAAACTTAAAATACAAATACAATTAGTTAAATATGTAGAAATACAATAAAATAAATAAATTAATCAAAATGCGAAAAGAAAAAATAATAACGCAAAACACATAATATACTCGTAGTTTTAAATAGCACAATACATAACATTTAATATATATATACATACATATATATATACGCCACCGTATGTACAATAATAAACGCATTTCGAATTTTCAAATTAATTTCAATTTGTGCAAAATGTGCGGTAATTAAAAGGTTCTATAAAAGGAACACGATTTGTCGCTACCTCCGAAGAAAAAGAATAAAACAATTATTGTGAAAATCATGCTTAAAAAGAATTGAACAAATTAACAGAATATAAACAAAAACAATAATGCTATGTAATTGTGCGCTGCAGTGAGATGCACGTGTAAATGCAAAACAGAGAGACGGCAAACATAACACAAACTATTTTACATATAAATATATGTATGTACTCGTATGCATTCGCGACTATAACGTAATTGAAACAGCAAAGTGTATAAAAACTTTTTACATATTATATTAAGAAATGGGCATTGAAACAACATAAAACGAAAAAAATTTAAGGTATTCGTTGATTCCTATACACGTATATATGTATCTCATATAAAATTCATTCAAAATAGTTTAAAAATAATCTTGTCAACTTTTAACTTGCTGGCTTAGAACAACACTGTAGATCCATCCATTCGCTGGAAAATCTCTTCCGCGGTTAAATTATGTATGCACACTCATGGTTAAATATATAAAATGTATGTACATATATACTAGAGGGTCCGGCAAACTTCTCCACGCTCAATTCCACGCCTTTGGATTAATTCCAGAGTGATAACACTTGAAACATATATAAACATATAATAAATTTTAATGTGAATTACCTGAATGGTAGAGAGCGAATAGGGCAGTAGCCAATTTGATTTTTGTCGCTATTTAAGTTTGTCAAATCAGGAAAAACTATACATATATTCCAACAATATGATATGTACAAGCATGAGCATGTAAGTAGATAAGGTATTCCAATTTAAATTGAGCGAAGCACCGAATGCACCGAAGATATCACTCCAACAGACATCTACTAGAGGCAGAACCAGCACCCGGGCACATCAAAATGGCTCTACCATACTTTTAGCAGCACGTGCAACTACTGCTGGACACTACGGCATATAGACAGGCACTAAACGCCATTCACCAAGAGTCAGTCAACATTTTTAAGAACTCTCTCCATGTAAATGGGGTCCTCGGAGTCAAATAACCATTCAGAGCCTATGAAGAGCTCGAGCTGCCTCTATAGTCCCGCGTAATACTGGCGCAACTTAGGTCTGGATGTTGTAGCTGGTTAAACTCCTAGCAATCCAGACTCTACTCCGACATACCTGCATGCAACGAGTCAGCGCCAGCAAGTCCCCCCTCTCCCTTTGGTCCGAGCCATTCGAAACAGCCGTCAACTAAAAATGTCTCTCACTTGACGCACGCGCACGCCTTCCTAAAAAGTTTCAGCTTAAGGCAAAGTATGTTGCCACATAGCGCCCTATGGAATGAACTAAGCAAATTTGTTTAGTGGAAAAAAAATTTCAAATGTTTATATTGATACAATATAATATAATTAGAACCATACAAATATATCTTTTCAAATAGATCGGTCCGTGATCGGGAACAAAAGTAGTGTTCCTAAACAAAAGGTATGGTAATAGTGCTCTTAGTCGATGTTTCGATGGCATAAAGAGTTTAAGGAGGGGCGTGAAAGCGTGGAAGACGAGGCGCGGACCAGGAGACCAGTCGAGGTGCGGCGTGTGCGTGTTCTAGTCCGTGAACATCGACGTTTAACAGTTCAAATGTTGACGTCCGAACTGGGTGTGAACCGTGAAACAGTTAGACAAGCTTTAACCGACAGTCGTAACTGAAGCGTTCATCACGACTACGCGGCGTGCCACACCGCCCTCAGCGTGTCTCAGTATTTGGCCTCTAAAAGGATCGCCGTGTTTCAACAACCACCGTATTCGCCCAATATGTCCCTCTGTGACTTTTTTTTTGTTCCCTAGAATAAAATCGGTGGTCAAAGCAACTCATTTTTGAGTCGCTTGAAGATATCTAATTATCTCGAATTGTTCGAGAAATGCTACTAAGCATGGAAAACGCGCTGGAATCGTTGTATAGCTGCCCAAGGGTACTACTTTGAAGGGAATTGCAGAGTTGTGGAATAATTTTGAAATTATCGGTGTTTATGGAATCAGTCTCATTACTTAATTGTCACACCTCGTACATATATAACAATATAATAAATTCAGAAATTTCTTAAGAAATCTCTTCAAACTGTAAGGTGTTTTAAAAAATTTAATTCTCGAGCTCAGCGTCATTATTGCTTGCATTTATCTACTTAATGCCAATTGTTAAATATCTGAAGCAGTCAAGTCGATATTTTTTATACACATATTTACTACATATAGATAGCGCCAATAGCCGACTGTTGCAAGACTTTGAAACATTCACATTAAAAAAAAGATAGTGTTTATATAGAAAAGCATAGAGCATAGCATTGTTGAGGAAAATAGATCTTCGTGGCGTTGTCTGTGAATCATTCGATTATTTATAACATATTTATAAATACATATGAATGGACGTATATATGTATATATGTATATATGTATATATGTATATATGTATATCAATTATATCAATATAATCACATTTTGTCCGCCCTTCTATACAAAAAATTTAAATATCATAGGAATATGTATGTATATCTGAGTATATACATACATACAAATGCTTAATGTTCTTTAAGCTATTTTTGAATTTATTATTGAAATAACCGTCTACTTGAAACTTTGCGTAAGCCTTATAATAACTTTTTTGAACCGAGTTAAATAAGAATGCTATTTCATTTATAAATAATAAATAATAAATAATAAATAATAAATAATAAATATATATCGCTGGGTCAACGTAATGCAACGTCGTACCGCTCGGTACGTTGCAATGACATCCCCATATTAAATTCGTTAGAAAATGGGTGTGTTTTTTGAGGCTTGTGACCAGTACTCACTCCTGAGAGCTAGTTGAATCGTTACTAGTGAATCGAGGTAGTCGCTTTGTAACCGCTGAAGCGCTTTTGACATTAACTAATTTATCTTCAGCTGCCACCATAGCTGAGTGAGTGGTTAACATTGCAGCGATATGATAGTCTAGTGTTGCTCTTTATAAGCGTAATATATCCCTCCTCTTCATACGCGTCTGACTTGTTAAGGAGGCCAAGGTTTTAGCCAAAGGGTTCGGATGATTGTGTATTTTCGCTACGTTGTTTTGTGTAATGATTTCAATATTTTCGTTGGTGCTAGGTATATCCAAAGAGTTATAGAAAATTAATTTATATAAAAAATTAAGTTAAATTTTCTAATTACGGTCGCCCTCGGCAGGGGCTGTCAACCCCTCCGAGTGTATTTCTAACGTGAAATAAAGGCTCCTCATAAAAAAACCATCAGCCGTTCGAAGGCGGCTTAATGTAAACTGTAGGTCCCTCCATTTGTTGGAAATCCTCCTCCAATTTCTGGTTTTCGGCCAAAAATCGCTTCAGCGGTTACAAAGCGCCAATTATTAACATTTTCGAATGGAATATTTTCTATATATCTATATATGTCGCACAAACTGTATCCGATAACTGGATTTCATGCTTCCATATCGGTTTTATAGTACTTTATTTTCCAGGCGGAGTCCAAATTTATTGCTGAAAAGCCAATGCAAACTGGACAGTTTTGTATCAGCAGCATCTTTTTGGCGTAAATTTGCCGTCTCCAAGTTAACCGTATTTCGAAGTGTATGCCAAGATATGTCACCACGTTAGCATGTAAGATAAGCTCATTGTTGAGCTTGGCAATAAAGCACGATTTTGATTTTAATGTAAAAGCTTTGTGTTTGCACTTACAAATTTTCAGTAACTTTTATTCGTCATTTTGCTAGCCACTCTACAATTACTCTCAAAAGTCCACGTAATTGCCCTGTGACTTGTACGAATATCCGCGATGAACAGGAGCTACAATAATGGCCCAGAACACTACCTTGCCGAAAATAGTTTTTTCTTTTTCCGTTCGGGCTCATGGATCGTTATACAATCTCAACGGTAGTTCGGTATTTACTGGCGGCTTAAGGTTTTTGCTAGCTTCCCAAAGCGATTTTTGTTAGTAAAAACCTTGGAAAACAAATACTTTATAAGATTTTTCATATTTTTAAGCCCTTAGTGAACTTGTTCTCCAAATGGAAAATGATGTAATTAATATGGACTTTTACGAATATATGGCTCTGACAAGAGTGGTGCTAGTGCCTTGCCAGCAGATAAACAGCTGCTTTGATTTTATTTTTAAAACACTAGTATTTCACTAGAATTTTTGTATAGTAGTTTCGCATTTTACTTTAGGGCAGCGCGTATTTCCGCAGGGTGGTGAGTACACAAAAACATACACGTATGTATACATATACGCATTGCATGTATTGTACATATGCTTACAAATCTAAATATTATTACTCCCCTATTTTTAAGCGTTTCACATCAGAAATAACGGAAATGGATAAAAAAGTATATTATTTATATTATTTAAAATGTACAAAATTTTATTATAACAGCTACAGATATCGCCCTATTTGCAGCCAACCGCTTTGATAGTGACATATATAACAAATATAATATACATATCTACACACTTCTGTGTGTCAGCGCGTTATCGTATTCAAAGCTCAAATAGCCGCTTTGCCAGCGCAATCACTGTGCCACTTGATTCGCTGAACTATGTCAATGACGTCGTGTATGTCATACAGCTCACCATTCCATCGACTGAGGGATTCGCCCAACTTGTAGAGTACCATAAATCTTATGCAAAACTCGTAAGGCCGACTAATCAGATGTTGTCATCGTCCATGCCTCCGCATCATATAGCAGAACGGGAACCATAAGCGACTTGAAGAGTTTGGCTTTCTTTCATCGAGAGAGGACTTTACTTTTCAATTTCCTACTCAGTTCGAAGTAGCACCTGTTGGCAAAAGTTATTCTGCTCTGGGTTTCATATCGACGAAACTTTCATCGACCTCAAAGTTATGACCGTAAACAGTGACGTGGGAGCGAATGCTATGACTGTTTGTTTGATGGCAGGCGATATTTCGTTTTGTCATCGTTCATTACCAAGCCCATACATTTCGCCACCTTATATAGTGAAAGTACAAATCAAATCACGGAATCCTGACGAAAATTTTACTGTTGCTTGGCGGGGCTTAGCGTGGCAGAGTAGAGGCAACTTCTATTCGTGCTGTTGAAGCCGGCTTTAAGATCGACAAAGAGGTAGTGTGTGTCGATCCTCTTTTAACGTATCTTTTCTAATTTTTGGCGCATTGTGAATATCTGATCAATGGTTGATTTATCAGATCCAAAGCCACACTGATAAGGTCCAATCAGTTTGTTGACGGTGGGCTTTAGTCTTTCACACAATACGTCCGATAGGACCTTATATGCGATATTAAAGGGGCTTTACCCCACGGTAATGGTGGATTGGGGAGAGTACACTTAGATTCCAATCGTGGGACATGCTTTCATCCGACCATATTTTGCAAAGAAACTGATGCATGCACCCTGTCGGAAGACCGTCAGCTCCAGCCACTTTGTTGTTCATTAAGCGGGCAATCGCTATTCGAACCTTGACGTAGTCGAGTTGTGGAATGTCTTGTCCATCCATAGGGTTTCGGGTTCACCACCTCCGGGTGTTTCATTTTCACTGCCATTCAGCAGGCTGGAGAATTGTTCCATCCACAAATTTAGTATAATTTGGGCATCACTTACCATATCACCTTTTTGTGTCAGACTGTTGTATGCTTCGGTCTCTAAGCGGCCGTGTTTTCATAGAATTTTTGAGCATAACCTTTGTCGGCCCGCTTCTCAAGCACTTCATATTCATGCATCTCGCCGTCTTTCTTTTTCGATCAGCAGATGCGTCTTGCTTTCCTCTTCAGTTTTCGGTATACTTGTATATCCCATTCTACACGTAGTGGTCGTAGCAGCGGTTTTCCGGCTTTTTCGAAAACAAAATAGTTTCGTTTGCAGTTCTACGTAGTGAGCTTAAAATGCTCCCCCCGCAGTTCACTTGTACCGGCTTGCTGATGAGCGCTCTCAGAGAGCAGGAATACAAGTCGAGTAGAAAACCGTTAGGCTGTCGGCTTTCAATGTCGAATCTTTTGTTGTATTTGTTGGCGAGCATTTTTTTGCAGGTGGTGATTCATGTCGAATACATTTCGTCCTTCTTTCACAACATGAATTTAATTTAACTTAAATGCAACTTTAATTGTATTCACATTTACATAGGTTTATAATATTATTTATATTTTTTTTACTAATCAATCAAGTTTTGGCACTTTTTCTTCGAATTATGCGATCTCTAGTGAGAAAATAATTTATGAAATATTAAATTCACTATACGTTTCATAGCAATTTTATGCAAATTTTGTAGCTAAGACTGAAAATATGATCTTTTTTATTACTTCATTTTAAACAGCAAATAGTCAGTAGCAAAATAATGTCATTTATCAGATTTTTCCTATCCAAATTGATGGCAAAAAATATTGAAAACCATAAAACGCAAATCAGTCAGTCTGTCTTTGTGATAGATCCGACCTTCCTCATTTTTTATAGTGTTTTAAAGTTTAATAATTATTTATATATTATGTGTACACACTAGTATGTATGTATGTTTGTACGTTTACCATGCGCTCATCAATATTGCCTACAGTATAAATCTGTGTAAAAATTTAAATATTTTTAACGGTAATTAGTAGTTAGCGTGATGCAAGCAATTCTTTTTTTTATTGAGATAATCAAATGTTCGTGTAAATTTATTTAGTTATTAAAAACTACCATAATAAACTGTTGTTGTTGTCTATTTGTGATGTACCACAGCATATGGTAAGAGGCAATCTACTCATATGTTAATAACTGCAAGTCATTAAGGCGATGTCTGATAAAAAAATAATTATTATTATTGGAAAAAGCATCAAAACATCATTGAATTACATAACTTGGCAAAAGTAAATTTATTTTTGAGTAGGTTGCTTTGGATTAAATTGTACTTTTCAAAGAAGAATATAATAAAATAAGTTTAAAATAAAAGACCCAGCTTAGTTTGTGCTAAGCCGAACTTATATTCGTATTATAGAAAATTCAAAAATTATATATACACAGACAGTTTCGCAAGTAAACGTAAACAAAATGTATTTAAAATATTTTTTTCCATGAAATTCCTTTTTTATTGTAAAGTTTGAAACTTGTCATTACGAGGAACTATCAGTCGTCTAGCGACCTAAGGTAGTTAGGCAAACCAACTCTTTACTGATAATACTAGTTGCGGTACTCATTATTAGCATACATAACAAACCTTTTCTTAAAGGTCATTGACCATTTGTTCCTGAAACAAGCAACAATACCAAGTCAATGGAAATTGGAAAATCTTGTAATTTGCAGCACCGCGATATGTTTGAATTAAATGTAAAAAAAAGGAAGTAAGTCGAAAGAATTTTTAAAAAGCTGTAATCAGTTCTTCAGGACTATGCCCGGTTATATACAATGCTGGAAAAGTGGACACGGCTGTTTCAATAAGTAAGAAAGACCTGTAAAGATGACCCGTCACTTTCGTGACCAAAGAAAATGTTGAAAAAGTCGAAAAATTAGTACTGACTGATCGAAGAAATGAATTGTGGCAGATAGCAGAAGGATTACAGATTGGCAAAAATGAGCTGGAGAAATTTTGCATGAACATTTGAATATGTAAAGAATCAGTCTTGGGTACCGCAAATGCTCACGTCGTGCGACAAGCAGCGACAATTGGAGAGTTGTTGTAAATATTTTTTGAAGTTGTACCAAGATGATTTGAATGAAATTTGCACCACATTGTAACGGTTGATGGAACTTACATTCGTCAGTATAATCCCGAGTCCAAGCAGGAGTCCATGCAGTAAATAAAAAAGAGGAAATACCACATAATACATATATTCAAAGTGGAAAAGTCGGCGTCGAAGATAATGCCTACCGTTTTCTGGAATGGCAAGGGAATATTATTACTTGATTAATTGGCAAAGGGAACTTCAAGATCGGCCAGTATTACGCTAATTTGTAAGACGCGTGAGGCAGTCGTACAAAAGAATCTTGAAAAATTAGTGCGCGAACTTATCAGCCGCACCTCGTTTATAAAAAACACTACTTCTTCCAAATGGCTGCCTCGCGAGTTTCGATACTTTTGAGGTAATTTCCGAACACTTTTTGGCACATATTGGGCGGTATCTTAGCCTTGACTTGACGAATGTTGGATTTCAAGTGCTCATGCACATAAACACGGTTCTTTGCGTCGCCCTAAAAAAAAAAACGTCCGGTGTCAAATCACACGATTTCTGTGGCTAATTGACAACGCCAAGACGAGAGAGATTATGCGGCCAAGAAATTTCTCTTGCAAAATAGCAATATTCACTCGTGTTGTGTGACTTTCGGTGCCATCTTGTTGAAACCATGAATTGTCCGATTCCTATGTTTTTGAGGATATAATTAAATTAATTGAAAGATTTGAAAAAGTATTCGTTTTATAGATGAACGTATTTGAAAGGGAAAATAATTTGGTATTTTATTTTCATTTCTCCGTTCCGAGAACATAAAAACGCTCCCTAGTACATATAAGTATGATTATTGGAATTTTCATATAGAGAATTTTTTATTTCTTTGTTAAATTTTTATATATAATATTAATTTTCGATAATATTATAATTAGCTTAAAAGAAAAAATATTTTTAATTACAGATACAAAACGCTTTTAAGACTATGAATTATCAACTCCGGACAATACCTCCAACGTGCAGTGAATATGATTGAGGCAATGGATGAGAGCAAGCAGCATTTGCTTGCGGATACTACAGATAACGGCATGGATTTAAATGAAAAAGTGGCAACAAAAGCCACACAATTAGGTATATACAAATACATTTATATATATTTATTTTCAAGTTAGTACAATTGTATGAGTGTACATATTGTATATAAAACTAATAACTAAACGATTCACAGCGGACTCTGCTACCTCATTGCAAATTACCAACAGAACTACTGCAAATTCAGAGGCGCACTCATGTACAAAATCCGTTGAGACAGGACAGCAACTTTTAAAAAACGCAGTATCATTTTTTCGAAAGAAATCCTTACATTGCTTCGCTAGCACCGGCAAACCAGGCAGTAGTCCGTCAGCGAAGTACTTTAATTGGTCATATAGAGTACTACGTCGAAAACAGCTTTTACTCTTACTCTTTCTTGTGGCATTCATAATATATTTGAGTAGTTCGATAAGGAGCAATAATTATGCAGATGAACACATTACAGTCTTGCACCATTCTCATGTGCCGGGCATGAAGGGTAAGTATACGCCTTGGTGGTCCTCACTAATATGCATAATATTTAACTGAAATTAAGACATACACATATTTATTATAAGATATACTGTGCTACATACACAACTTGCAATTGTGCATTATTGTGCGTAGGTAGTTTGAGAATATTTCTTATACATATATGTACATGTACACTTGTATTTTATATGAGACATCTAAACCTGCATAAGCGGCAAATGATATAAATTTTAATTTCTTCTTAATATTGCATGCTTTATATTTATTTTTTTCAGTTGCTTATAGAATTATTTTTATTTTTTATTTTTTCTCGATGTTCTACTGATAATTATTGCATGAAAAAGTATTAGCTAATAATTGTGTTGCTAGCTGTGAATGTGAGATCTAAAACTAAAAACTAAAAAAAAAAAACTAAAAAAGTAGTGAAAATAATTAATGTAAGAAAACAAAATTGTATGTATATACAAAAATAAAAATTAGTTTTGCCTTTCAATTCGCTGAACTAGGTAAATATTACCATGTACCTCATAGAGCTCATTGCCGTCGCCCATATATTGAGAGGCTGCTAAATCTTTCGCAAAACCTTTCTCTCAAAGACCCCCACACTGACTTATTTGTAGTCAATGTCCACGCTTCTGATACTTAAATTAATTCGGGAATGATTTTGACCAGATAGGACTTTAACTTTCAATTGACTAGTAAGTACTTAGTATGACGTAGAATCGGTCGGTAGGCTGACAATATTACTTTCGTGTTAACTCTGAATGTCGACAATGACACAGGGAGCAAGACTCGTCTTGTCCTCTTTCATTAGCAGAACTATTCGCTTCGCTTCCTTATACAGTCTGGAAAAAGCCCATCCTACGATGCCGTTGTTCAGACCAATGAGGTCAACATTAACGGATAACGCCAGCAGCCATATGCTCTCTTGGAACGTTGTACCCTGTATATTCAACTCGTATTATGTCATATGAATGAAAAAGGGTTACTTTGTCTGAGGCCTCGTTTGATACCGAACGGCTCGGTGAAGATTTCCTCAATTCTGACAAAGCTTTTGCTGTTTTCCAGCGTCAGTTTACATAGCCGTATATGTTTTGTGACAACACTAAATCCAACAAAGCGTCCTAGAGGCAGGTTCTGTTTGAAATCGGCGAAGAGTTGAGGTGTATCGTTCTTTTTCTCGTTCTCCCAGGATTTGACGCAAAGCGAATATCTGGTTGCGCCCCAACATGGTCTTATGGATTGGGCAGAACATGCTCACGTTCCTATCGGCGGGGCATGCTTTCGTCCGACGATATTTTGCGACGAAACACCTCGTATGAATAGTTCAAACGCTATGCCATCGACTTCCGCCGCTTTGTTAACCTGAAGGCAATGGCCATTAGAACTTCAATACAGTCGGGTATTGGAACGTATTTTCCATCGTCATCGGCTTAACCATCGTCGAGTGTTTTCCATATCCTTATTCACGGGAATTTGGAATAATTCTGAACAGTTACATATTTTTTCGGTTTCTGAATTACGATATACCTAGAAGTGTAAATGACGTTGAGGTTTGGTTAAAAGAGTATAGCCCCCATTTTTCCGTGTTGGCAACCCTAAGAGCTCGAGTACACTTACTTTCTGGATATGCCTCGTACTTTGCACTTCATTTCATATGTACATAGCAAGTATTTTGTCTGTCTCGTCTCGTATAAATGAGATGTGTCCAAAAACATGACGAATTTTCAAGTTTCCCAAATTTTTAAATTAAGCGCGGAAACAAGCTCAAGAGCGTAATTATGAACAAACTAAAGAAAGATGCATGAAGAAAAAATTAGTATTTACTAAAAAAACTTTATTTTTTGAACACACCTCGTTTTTTTTTTGTTAATTTAGTATTTTGTCCGTTCGAGAATGCATATTACATAAGTAAAATTTTTGTTGTTTATTTTTTATTGTACTTTTACCATTTGTTTATCGTCTGGCATTATATGTTTGTTATGTTTTGTGTTGTATTTTCTCTTAATTTGCATGCTTTTGGCGCATATAAATAAATTAATGCTGCAACATCTGGACTTTGCTTGTAAAATTGAAAATTTTTTCGAAAATTTTGCACCGATACGTTATTATTTTGCTTGCCGTACTGTACCGTGCCACGTGCGCTGCCGCCTTATTCTATGTGCAAACGTCCTTAAATGTTCTCGCACGAACACATAACTATTTACACACAATAGACACCGAAGGGCCATTGCCCCAATATACGGTTGATATGAAACAATCACATACACCATCAGCCGATACCGTGCTAATTTTGTCACCATCCGCATCACCGATGCCTGAGCTTAATGAAACACGATTAGAGCTTGAACAGACAACCAGCATCGAAGAATCGATTACAGTTCAAACTTATGAGAATTCTTTAATTAATAATGATACATATAAAATGATACGACCTCCCACAGGTTATCTCGTCTGGAGTGAATCCTGTCGTATACCCGATGTGGATGTGCATGCGCCGGATATAATGCAACATTTCAAAAGAGAAAAATACAAACCGTGCTCAAATAAAAAAGCCTTAACTGCAGTATACTTCAATACGACATCCAGGGAGTATGTGCTGCATATCGATGAAAGTGAAATCAAATCATATAGTAAATCGGGGAAGGTCAACTGCTGTTACCAGCCAATATTACGCAATGGTACCGGCGCCAAAGCAGATGTGGATTATAAGTAAGTACTCTACAACGGTACAACGAACCAAGATCAGCGTTGCGCATGATTACTTACGGCTTTGTCTTTGCATTTCTAATTGCTCTCTCTTGCAGACTCGGCAAATGTGTTCCTTTTAAGAAAAGTGTTTCTTTACCGCCTTCAATTGATAATATTCTAGTACAATGTGATTCTAATAGGCGAAATGTGTATAAAAATGGGCATCCCTTAATAAACGAGAAACCCCGTGTACGTGAACGATTAAATGCTTGGAAGAAGAAGGATACTGATCGTGGTCGAACGAAACCGCCCAGTATTTTAATGATCGGCATCGATAGTATATCGCGTGTAAATCTAATAAGAGCCATGCCAAAAACTGCCCAACACCTATACGATAATGAATGGTTCGAATTGAGTGGTTATAATAAGGTAAATATGTAAAAAGTATTTCATTCAGCTGTAAGTACTTCTGTATGTATGTGCAATTAGTGAAGCCCAATAGGGATCAGTGAAGCCCAATAGGGATTTGAGACTTTTTTAATTTTGTTTTTAACACCATCCATTTGTTGATATTTTTTAATGCAAAAAGAGGCCCTTTTTCGTAAATTTTACATCACATTCTCCAGCTTCTCGGTGGTAATAAGCACTCTTTTCCGTCGAATAATGGCTTTGAGCTGAGCTTTGGTCTGCGGCTTATCAATGCAAACGTTGCTCTTCAAAGAAATCTTCACAAATAAGTGCGGCGGCATCAAATCGAGTGAGCGCGGCGGCCAGTCGAAATCGGAGTTTTTCGAAATGATGCGTCGGTCGAACAACATGCGGAGTACTACTTCCCGGCTAGTGTGAGCTGCGACTCCGATCTGTTCTAACCAGAATTGAACCAATCCATTTTCAATTATTTCCGGAAACACAAAGTCACGCAGCATCACTCTGTACCGCCCATCACTGATCGTAACGCCGTTACCAGTCTCGCTCTCTAGCCGCAGCAAACGGTCATTTTTTGATCAGGGAATCTCGAATATCTCACAAGGTATTCCGTTAAGGCAAGAGCGGCGGATGTGCTTATTATTGAACGGCGCAAATGTAAAATGAATTTCATCGCTCATGATGATTTTGAATCAAAACTCACCAACACCATGGAGCATCTTTTCTACTCGCTGAATCAGGTGTTAGTTGATTTACAACACGAAATGATGTGCGAACAAGTCACTATTATGTCAATACGTTTCTGTTACTAGTATTTCCAACTGCTACGGTAAATCACATTTTTTTCCAATGAGCTTACTATTACAACAATTATTGTTATAGCAACCTTTTCGATGCAAGTCTTCCTTTCAAATTTTATAACGAGCGGCTCAAATGAAGACGAGAAAACGCAAGATAGCTGAGGATACCTCAGACGAAATTCCACCACCAACGTTTACAGAAATTCGAGTTCCGATGTAATTTGCAGCCAATAAAAATATTCAGTGAATGCCAAATTGCATATGGAAAAATTGCACAGTCTTTAAGCACTATTTCTAAGCGGTTTCGAAGATTCCAGACCTTTAAGACATTTTTCTGTAGAGAAAAAGCTCCGAGAAGGTCGACCAAAATCTTCGATTGATGACGTCACTGTAACCCTGGTGATGTCTAAAATTGACAAAGACCCACGATTGACACAAGAAATGGTTGGTAATTAATTGGGATTGAATGCCATGGCTGTATCGGGAATATTAAATCTGATCGATGAGTACCACGATTTTTAAATTAAGCCCAAAAAGAAGCCCGAATGCATTTGCTTAATGTTTCCTAAACAAGTTCGAAAAGTGTCAGTCTAGCAACTTTAGTAAAGTAGTTACTGGTGATGAATCTTGATTCTATAAATACGATCCAGAAACTAAACAGCAGTCCATGGTATTGAGCCCAACAGGAGTAAACCCACCTGTAAAGTCTAAGTAACGAAAATCACCAGCGAAAGTAATGAAACCAGTTTACTACAGCCGATCTAAAATCTTAGCTGCTGTTCCACTGGAAAAGGGTCAGCCGATAACTGCAAAATGATACACTGAAGAGTGCTTACTAAAAGTTTTTCAAAAATTTGTTGGAAAACAGGAAGAAAGAGGATTTATGGCGCCACTTTTTACATCATGACAACGCACCGTCCCACAATACTGAAATAACGGTTAATGCTGTTTTCAGAAGTGGATCTATAGGTTTAAGAAATGCATGAAATCAATGATGTTTATGTAGAGAAAATACCGGAATTTTCGTATTCCCTTTAAATGAAAGAGTTTACTTCGATGTGTGGACTAGAAGCACATAGACATTAAACATAGAACCTAGAATGAACAACATAGAACATCAAGCTCCTAAAAAATTTATTGAACGGAGTAGCCAAATGCCAATTCATAGGTCAAATCTAAGTACTCGAAGTCCAAAAGGCTGAGAAAATCAAAAAGTGATAGCGGAATTTTTATTTTTTTTTATTTCATTTATTCATATATATGAATAATGACTTTGGTGTGGAGTATCAGTAGAAGAAGGATAGACCCATCAAAATTAATACCGATTGAGTAAGAATGATGTGGTGAGTTGATTTAGAAATATCCGTCTGTCCGTCTGTCTGTCTGTTTGCACGGAAGTTAGTCCCTCAGTTTTTGAGATATTTCAATCCAACTTGGCGAACAGATCGACTGTCGAAACCGGTCACGGAGGGCTACTATGGCGCATATCAGCCGATTTTTCAGTTTTTGGCTCATATATCCTTTAGAAAGCATCTAAGGTCATGAAATTTGGTATTCTGGAGGCAGATATATAACAAGCAACACATTCGTACCGAAAATTATCGAAATCGGACTACTTATGGAATGTAGCTTCCTTACAACGATTTGCTCCGATCCGACGACATGAATTTTGGCTATCTATATTTGTATCTACAAATTAGTTGTCTCCGAGAAACATCGAAGTCGGAGGATAAAATCATGAATCTCTTAAATAACCAATTTGTTTTTGGTATGAGGACCCGTTAAAATAGCATCTATTAACTTGAAAATCAGTATTCCACATTCGTATCTTAATATCCTAAAATGAAATGTAATAAATTTGTTGTGGTCATGAATACCTTTCATAGATTTCGTCGATAATAATACTTATATAAGATATGTTAGCCATCAACTATTGCTTTTGTGTTTCGTTTAAATTATTTCTTATCTCCAAATTACTTTCATTTGCTGCAATAGATAGACGATAATACGTTCCCGAATTTTATGGCTGTGCTGGCTGGATACAATAAAGACAATACCGTTGAGAAATGCCCTCCAAAAGTGTTAGGTGCCTTAGACAATTGCAGTTTAATATGGAACGGATTTCGTGATCACGGCTATGTGACAGGCTATGGCGAAGATGCAGCCGAAATTAACACTTTCAATTACTATAAAGTGGGATTTACGCAACCACCCGTTGACTACTACTTACGTCCATTTCAATTAGCTGCCGAACATCATTTGCATAAAACCTACAAATCAGGTCTGACCTTCTGCCTTGGCTATCAACAATCTGCACAATTTGTACTAGATTATGCCATCGAATTTGCAACACGTTTCAAGGACGAGCCGCTATTCGGATTATTTTGGACAAATTCGTTTAGTCACAACAATCTGAGTGACTCCTCATCGATGGATGTCGTAGTGCTTAATTACTTGGAACGATTAGCCAAACTAGGCTTACTCGATCGTATGATTGTCATTTTCTTTAGTGATCACGGTTTACGTTTTGGACCTGCGCGTACCACTACCTCCGGTCATATGGAGGAGCGACTGCCGTTCATCTTTATTTGGCTGCCACAATATCTGAAACAAAGACATCCAAGTTTTGTGAATGCTTTAAGTGTGAATAAGAATCGTCTAACAACACCATATGATCTACATATGACACTGAAGCATTTTCTTAGCATGTCCGAGCGTGTTGAAAACAAATCCAAAGTTCTTGCCCCAGCTGAGGGTTGCAAGAAGTGTCAAACACTCTTAGAGCCGGTACCGTTAAATCGTTCTTGCTACGAAGCAGCGATAGATGAACACTGGTGCACTTGTATACCTTACACCAAGGTTAATAAAAAAATTAATGTTGTGCAAAAACTAGCTAATATAACGGTTAAATATATAAATGAACTGGTACGAAACTTTCGAAATGGTACCGTAATGTCATTATGCCGCAATCTACAGCTCGACAATGTCGTAAGTGCGCATCGATCGTATGATGCTTTCAGGCCGATAAATGCAAATGGTACAGCTTTGGATGTGTATCGTCTGCATTTCGTGACAAAGCCGAATACTGCAGATTTCGAGGTCACGTTACGCTACAATCCAGTGTCGGAGGACGTTAAATTTACCGGTGAGATAAGTCGCTTAGACTCATACTACAAAGATTCGCACTGCATATCGGATAGTTTCGTGAAAAAATATTGCTCGTGTGCCTAGCGCAAAGCTTCGTCGCTGACAACAAAAAATAACAGCACAACGAATAAGGCGCACTGATCCATATGGGACGCCTTCCATCGTGGAAGGTGACTCGCTTTCTCTTATTCCTATCATTTGCTTTGTACAGTAATTAACCATATCAGATAAGTTCAAGCAAAAGAAAAATATTAAACATAAATTTTCTACCATCTCAAGCTGTTAGTTATAACGATAAGTAGCAATTTTTTTATATATATACATACATAAATAGGGCTAAAAGCTGAATGGTAAATCTCTGAGTATTTTAAAAGTTTACTTCAAAATTACTTACGTCAACTTGTAAGGGGGTGGATCAATCGGCTGGCAGTAATTGAATTAAAGATCAGTTTTTCTCTTTTCTATAAGATAATTCAGCCATATCAGACAATTAATAGAGCAAGGGCAAACTTAGATCGGAATCGTGTCTGAAGCAGCGATGCTCAACTAACGAAACGATATCAATGCTTTTTATTAATAAAAAAATAAATGATATTTTCAGCACCATTTTCTCGAAACGTAAAGAAATTTTTAATGTTCAAACAGCAAAACGTTCATGTTAATTTTAAAATGGCTGCTAATTATATTAACAGCATTAATTTTAACTTTTTACATTATCTGCTAACGATTTAACAATATGCAGATTTAGCAGCATCTGTTAACGATTTAACATTATCTGTTCACGACTTAACATTATCTGTTAGCGATTTAACATTAACGACAGCAGTTCGTTTCTGCTTTAACGATAACATTTATAAATGTTTCAACCGAATCAATAGAACTTTTTTGATTAATGTGAAATTTATTGTTTCGATTCAGCCTTGGTCTGACGTTTTAGAGGATTAATGCAGTGTGACGCGCACTCTTGATGGTCCGATTGCGGTATCTGAAAGCAACTGATGAAGAGTACAAAACATTGCCTATATAAAATATTTTAATTGAAAACCGTCTTTTGACTAAAGTAAAGAAAAATCTGTATCATTTAACATCTGGCAATAAATGTTACGGTAAATAAAACTTACAGGATCTTCTAACAGAAAATTTGCATAACAGCTGAATTAATTATTTATTTATTTATTTATTAAATAACAATTTTAAATTTAAATAGGTAATTAATGACTTGTGACTATTTTCCATATATTTTTTCTGAGGGCTAAGCTACTAAGAGCCACAAATACTTTAAGCCCAATTGATCTACCCTCGTGTGTTACAATTTACGAACACAATTATTTATATATGTATTGTACATATATGTAATATATGTATATGTTATGTTAGACAAATAAACAATACATAAATACATACGCTTGCCAAAACTAAATGTAACAACAAAATACAATAAATAAATTTAGTACATATATATTAAGTAGTATAAATAAGTAAATATTAACGAAACGCTTTAAACTTATGTAATCGTATGCGTCAAATGTTGAACTTAAGCAACCATATATGTATACATATGTATGAGCATGTATATTATTTTACAAATACTAAAATACTGTGATTTGTAGTCAATACTTTAGCCTAAGAAATTGTATAAAGCAATGAAGACATACATACATATGTATGTATGTACATATTTTCTATAAATGACATAAATTGATATTCCTTTTATTCAAATACTGTGCAAGGGTAAGTTCGACAAATTATTTCCCAGAAAGACAGATAGTAGCGGATATATATATAGATCTGCGCTATGCCCTTCATGTTAGAAAAATATAGGTAGGCGGGTCTGTAGAATGTTTTTTTCATTCATGGAAAAAAATGAATCTTTTTCTGCAAGTGTTATATTAAAAACAATAATAAATATATGTAAGTATTTTAAATAATTCATCCACAAAAATACATAAAACATTCAGCACGATATATTGAATTTTATGAAGGTTTTTAGAACACGAGGTTAGGAGAACCGTCGACCTCACCGAGCCAACTTACTCACATCACTAGCCAGGCTTGATTTTTGGGTTATCCATTTAGCAGTTTCGAAAATAAACGCATATAAAATGCATTTAAAAGAATTTTTTTATGAAATTCATCTATTAATTGCAAGTTTAAACTTTGGCACTATATCTATATGGAACATTACATCTTTCAAATGACCTCCGCCAATTTTTTGCAAACTTCGGTCCGTTTGAGGTATTTTTCGATCATTTTTTCGCTCATATTCGAGGGTATCTCAGCCATATTTTGACTAATGTTAGTTTTTATGTGCTCAAGAGTCAGAGATCTATCCGCATAAACACGATCTCTCTCTCAAGTAGCCTCATAAAAAGTCTAAAGTTGTCAAATCGCCCGAATTTGATGACCTATTGACATTGCCACGATTATCTCTTAATAATATAAATATAAATATAAATATAAATATAAATATAAATATAAATATAAATATAAATATAAATATAAATATAAATATAAATATAAATATAAATATATACATATGTATATATATGCAAATTTTTCTTTGTTCACGTACTATCTCTCAAAGATGCGATCATAAATTTTTGAAAAGTGTTTCCTAGAATTTAAGAATATTTAAATAACCTGTTTTCTTAGAATTTGTTCCATTGACCTTGAATAATTGTGTCAAGTCGTATTCTCGTAATGTGTACTCAAAGGAATGAAGAAATGAATGAAACTCTTCTGAGAATTGCCATATTATATGTATATACATACACATATACATACATACATACATACATATGCAACCTACAGGTTAAGAGGAGTGTCAACTCTATTGTTCATATTGTACATACACACACATATTTTCGAAAATCACTAGCCTAGCAACTACCAGGAATTCTGAATGTTTAATCCTTCAATAAATACTTAATTTGGTTTTGACGTCGATCAGTTGACCTCCCTGCAAAAACCAGCTGATGGGTTCACCAATACACTCACACGCTTTCGGGCAGCACTAACACATATGCACATTTTTTGTTTACCTGTCTCTTCTCAGTACATACAATTTGAAGAAGAATGCAGTTGAACGGATTATCCGATTTTCTTTGTTCTTATTTTCGAGTAGAACGCCCATTTTTATCGTTTTCTCCGCGGCAGGTAGAAGTGAAAAATGTATTGTATGATGAGGATCCTGTACAAGCTGTGGTAATAATATATTGTCCATTAGTTAACTACTTAATTTTTCATAACTCTTTACATGGTTTTAATTTAAGGGTACTCCATTTTGTACAGAAAATTCTGTTAATGGAGCAGGTTGAGTAGAATGGACACTTCTCATCTTGCAACAGCAGCACATCTCAAAAATATTCAACAAAACTTTGCGATGTACAACTGCATTAAGATTATTAAAAACATTATGATTCGAAAATTATTTTTTAATTTTACTTAGATGCCTTTATACTTCAAAGGAGCTGCGATTATGCCGGAGGCGTTCGTGAAGCTGAGGAGCTGTGTCACTATTAGAGACTTCTTATAATATTTTGCTAATTTTTGAAAACGAATTTATTGTTGTATTGTTTTTTCTTTTGTGTACTATGTAAACCATGCACATGATTTATGTTAAATATTGAAATAAAGACTGAATCTTAATAATGTTTGTATGTATGTATATATGTGAGGAAAATTTTTGTTAAAACTGATTTCCTTCGGTGTCAATGGTTGCTGTTGTTGTTGTAGCGGTTCACTATCCCCGCTTAGGCACAGGTTTGGTCAGTCTAAGTCGCCGAGGTCATCTAATATTAGGCCCAGGAAACGAGCTGTTTCGATAGGGTTGGACCAAAGGGTATGCTGGGGTCTAGTCTGGATAAGTAGGAGTTTAACCTGCTAAAGTATCCAGACCTGAGTTGTGTCAGGGCCACACGGGTCTCTCGAGGCAGCTCGAGCTCGTTGTCTGCTATAGGTGGTGGTATTTCTCCGAGTACGCCATTCACTGGAAGGGAGTCCTTGAAGGTGTTGACTGACTCCTGGTGGATGGCGTTCAGTGCTTGTCGGTACGCCGTCCTGTCCAGCGGTTGTTGTACGTGTTGCTGCATTGTATCCTTTAGGTCTAGTACTCCCTTTCTGATGTGCCTGCGTGGAGGTTCAGCCTCTATTAGGTCCCAACAGGAACTGCTTGCACAGCAAAGCATTATGCTCCTTAACTCGTAGCATAGATGCTTCCCTGTGCAAGTGATGCTCCGGCGACATCAGGATGTTTCCTGTCGCGATCCTGAGGGCGGTGTTCTGGCCACCTGTAACTTCTTCATCTGCGTCTCGTTCGTCCCCGACACCCAGATCGGTGAAGCAAATTGGGACTCTCACGACAGCCGGTTCTACGCACCGGTGTTGACCCGGATTTTATCCCGCCAAGGGCTGTCACCCTTTCGGCGACCTAACCCCGTTTAGGTCAACTGGTAACTTTAGTCTAAGTTCGCCAATGGAGCAACACCTTGCAGCTGGGTTGCTCCAAAACCTTCTGATCAGGGCTGGTGTAGAAACAAACCCTGGACTAACGGACTATTTCTGCTGCGGGTGTCACAGAAGACTCAACCATTCTTCCACCTCGGCGTCAATGGTATCGCTCATCTGTGTTCGTCTTGTCCGAAAAAAATTACAAAAATGCACAAGGAAACGAAGAGAGAATGACATCACATTTGTCATTTCGGCCTTAAGAAAGTGATAGGAAAATCATTGTAGGAGCTGACGGATTTTGTCGTCATGCATTCCTGACATATGTTGGCTCAAATGATCGAAATCATTCTTGCAGGGTTATTTTACAATAACTGTCAAATTAACTCATTTATTTAATTTATACTAGCAGGCCTATTCTGTCGCGGTGACAACATTTACATTGGTATTAAAGTTTACCATTCAGTAAATTTTGTTACTATTTCGTGTTCTGAATTCACTGTCACCCTGTAAATTTTGTTACCAGCGAAATAGGAGGTGACAAAAAATCTACTGTTTGATTTTGTGTTGTTAATTTGAGAAAAAATAAAAAACCAAATTGGGTAGGCATGTTTTAGGCCTGAAATTCATGGACGATGAAGAAAAAAGTGGAAAAAGGCGTATGCTAAGAAGTTTGCGAGAAACAAATGACCCTATTAATTTGGAAGACAGCGTTTTCATTCAACTTTTCTTGTCGCTTAGGCATGTTTTCCAAAATTAGACTCAAATATTTATGATTTATTAAACAAATTAATAAAATTTATTTATTTTTTTTACGTACCGCCTACCATTTTGAAGTGAATATTATTCTTTTTCACTATAGCAACTGGCAAATGTAATTTGACAAGGACGAAAAAAGCAGTGCTGCCCAAGTTTTTTCAAACATTGTAACCAGTTCGCCAGAGTACCAAATTCAATTTCGGTTGTTAAAAAAGTAACAAAATTTACTTTACCGGTAACAGTGAGAATATGCCTGTAGGAAACGAAAGAATTTTTCAAATTCTTCATTTGGGGAAAAACTCAAAATAAAAATAATAACAATTTTTTTTAACTTTTAATTTAAAAGTTTTATTTGAAACATAATGTTTTGAGTCTGCTTGAATTTTACATGAAATGATGTAGTATAAATGTAAAATAAATGAATTTGTATATTAATATAATATACATACATATGTGAAATTGTGCTTTACCTATAATTAAATACTTAAATTAGAAAATTTCTCGTCCAAGTGCAATTTATAAAATCACAAACTAAAATTTAAGTCCTTTTTGCATTTAGCTTGTCTCTAATATTAAAATTCTGTATGGAACACTTAAACATCATAAAGAATTTTCGAATTGGATCTTTCTTTGTGAGTATCCCGTATTTTGTATTACGCGGCGTTAGTACCAAATTAATCGCAGGTTCTTTTCTTGATATGTTTAATGTTAAAACAGCATTTAAGTGCACAGCAAATTGCGACTTTTGACGGCGTTCCATGGTGAACCTTTTAGTCTGTTCTAATTGCAGTTCCATAAAGCTCTTATAATTGCTACGTTGATGTAGACGGCCAGTCCATTGATCAACTGAGCCACTTATGAGAAATGCATAACTTTCAGTTTTGTCATCTAATCGCTGATGTTTATCGCTATGAATGGGTGTCGCAAATTGCAGATCCAAGCAATAGACGTCTGTTAGGATTTCAGTGATGGCCACCATATAATATTCGATCCATAAATTATGCACATTTTTCGATATGCTCGGATTTATAACGGTGGAAATGGCTCGCAATTCCGCTGCGGAAGGAAAACATTGGTAATTCATGTCGCTACAGCATACCATCTCACTTAATTGGTAATTCATGTCATTATTTAATACTTCGGAGTTTTCATTGTCCATTGATGGGCAACTTTCGATTTCGCTGTCCTTACAACTTTTGTTATCAGCGCATTCATTAGTATTTTTGTTGTTCAACTCTTTTGAGTTTCCAGTCACAGTCAATAGCAATTTTTTGGAGATTTCTGAGCTTTCAGCATCCACTGATGGGTAGTTAATATTATTGCTCAGGTCTTTACAATTTTCATTAGTAGCGTATGCATTATTGTTTGTATTGTTTAGCTCTTTTGCGCTATAAGTGGCAGTTGATTGCAAATTTTTTGCATTTTTGGCGACTTCCGAACTTTGAGCATTTCCTGACGGATCCTCACTTTTCCTTTCAATGTCGTTATTATGAATAGGGTTTACGGAGTTTTCACTTACAGTTGATTGTGAATTTTTTTTGTCGTTAAGAATCTTGAAGCTCTCAGACATTCTATTGCTTTTCCTCCTTCTTGAGTCTTCTGCGCAAGTGTATTGGGTATTTAGCAAATTCAAATTGTTATTTGATCTGAAATTATTTTTATTGTTGCGGGTTTCCTGTGACTTCGCATATTGGTGGAGGTTTATTCCTACATCAGAAGCCATTCTTTCAGTAATACCAAACAGCAGCGCTTCATAACGTTTGGCATCGGAGAAAAACTTTGTATTATTGTAGACATCATATGCATATGTAAAGCATTTTCGAAAATAATGCATGTTGATATCTTGAAAAGACCTGGCAATATTGTGATTAAGGATGAACGCGTCTTGGATACATAGAACGTATGCAGTCTGAAAAAAAAGTTTTACAGTTAGTATTTGTATATGCCTAAAACAATTTATGTATATATTTGTACTCACCTCAAAATGTTGGCTACGTTCACCATCTATTAGCGCAATAGCGGATAACTGTTGATCGTAAGCCGGAAAATGGTAGGTGCCATCTTTAAACGTCTGTTTAGGTATCCCATCTCCCAAATATGGAGAAATTATTGTTTTTTCAAAATCGAAAAAATGGTAAAATTTAAAAAAGCCTTCAATTAGAGTTGATGTTGTGACTTCATTTGGCAATGGCGCTACTCTTCCCTCAAGTTGATAAGCATAATTCACTCCCATTACCAATTTTTTTGGAATATCCTCTTGTAGCTTTTGAATTGACGGAAGTATTGCTTTTCGACCCCATAAAGGGTTTTGTAAATAAAATATAATCATTGTAATGAGGCAATAACTGTTCATAATTCCTCTCTTAACCAACAGTAATTGTTTTGCCCATATTTTAAGGAATATCACTAATTCATGTAGTCGCGTATCCAACTTTAAAAGGTCACGCAAAAAGTAGGAATTGTAGATACTATTGGCCGAGCATAAGTTGATATCTACACTGATTCCAGCGGGATAGTGCCAGCAATTTATTATCGGTACACGGGCATGTCGTATGGGAATCACATCGCCGAACTCGTTACTTCTTCTTAAAAGACCAGCTAATTTATTGTAATTTGGAGTAGTCGTAGTTCTATTTATGATTTTGGTACGCACGTCGTTAATAAAAAAATCGATGTCGCTATCTGCAAATGAAAAATTATTGTTGTTATTATGTTGGATCTTCAAGTATCTACTACTGTGCACACTTACCTCGTAAGGCTAACCCGCAGACGAACGAGCCAAAGGGATGAATTTCCAATGTGTTTTCCCTAAGTAATGCTTTCAAAGAATTTTGAACTCGTTCAGAAATGTGCCTCAATTCTTTATCGTTTAAGCAAAAGCATTTATTAATGCTCGATACTCCCTGGCCAGGTTTCCATTCCTCAAAAACTTTCTTCAGGTTGTTTCTCACAATCTTATAATCGTCTGTTTCGTATCCGTCAAGTATTGCTTTAACCTTTGTAACCACGTTCTTTTCATGTTGTTTGAGATGCGCGTTATGATTATATAAAAGTTCATGACGCAAACATTCCTGCATGCAGCTGAAAGCCGCAGAGCACACTGTGCATTTATGATTATTAGAGTTGTATGACATCTGGAAATTTGAATAAAAGAAGTTTTAGTTTTGGATTAGTTTATTGAGAAATATGTAGAATTTAACAATTCAGAAATAACAAACATAACAATTAAAATGGCAAAAGTGTTCCAGTATGGCGATCTATAACTTTACTGAAGTATATCTTTGGTATGCAGCCGTTGATTCCGGAACATAGTATTACATTATTTGTCGAACGATATATTTCCATACCACCCACTTGAATAGCTTTTTGAACGTTTAAATAGATGAGAATCTCACAATCGCTGCGGAACCCGCTAAGAATAATATCTTTTGAACCAGATTGCTCTACTTTGTCGGAAACAGAAAAATGAATATGTAAACGCTTCATAGTCCGTAGACCTTCTTTTAGAATTCTTTGCCAGTTTCGATAATATGTGCCATGAACAGCCAAATTAACTTCGCTGGCATTGTATATACGTTGCAGACAATGAGAGTCTTGTACTACAGCAATCGAGTGACCTTGATTGGCACGTATTTCATAGAAGCCATTGTTATTCTGGCGTAAACTGTAGCGCTGCTTTTTATCTTTTGCGACAATGTTTTTTAATACTTCTAAAGTAAAATCGCGTTTGAATTTTGGATGTTCCGTAATGGAATCAACGCGCACAAAACCGTCTGTCTGAATATCCACACCTTCCTTTATAGCACCATGGCGCAACAACCACGAAAGCCGTTTACTTATTTGCGTGTCTTTTTCCATTATTGTTTAAATAAACTTGCCGGTATTGCACTAAGTTACACTTACACTTTATTTATTATTTCACTTCGTTTTCTTCGTCCTGTATGTTATCAACTTCTGTTTGCTTATAGTAGAAATGACTACTATTTATACCAAAATAAAACAACACAATGAGTGCTGCCATATCCCATCGAATTATTCAGATTTTCAGAGCGTTGCCAGATGGCGTATAAAGAGCAACCTTAGTAAGGGTGCACACTTAGCTAAAATGATTTATACTCGAAGGAAACATAATAATAACAAACCATAACAACACAGATATGTTCACGTAAATAAATTTAATTTTGTTTAAACATGTTAAAACTTTATTATTTCTTTTCTTACCGAAAGAAACCTGCCATGACGTTAAAACACTACTATAGAATGTTACCATATGCAAAGTTGTTGGCCGCCGCTTATTTCGTTCAGGTAATGTCAATACGCTTTGAAATTAAATCTAACGAATATTTTGTATAGTGTCTCAACTTGTAAGAAATATTCGTAAGGTAATAAAAAAAAAATAGATAAGTTAACGTATAATTAATGTGCGTCATTTGGCACATGTATATCTACTATTTTATACAATTTTCACACAAAATATTCATAATGTGACAAAAACGCATATACGAATATCGGATTTAAGAGAGAGACAGATATATATAGCATATTCCAGAGCGCGTGCATCGAATATTTGCTACAACAGAAGTTTCAGAAGACACTTGTGAGCAATTTATAACTATAAAACATCGAAGCGCGCACTGTTGGCTTGTTCAGCTCAGAGTATAATCGGTATTGATAACATCGATATAAAGTCAAGAAAATAAAACTATGCGTTTATAGAAGAATATACATTGAGTTTTGAATAATGTATTTAGTAAACAATGTGAAATGGGTGTTTACAATTAGAAAGCTAAACATTAAAATTTGGGTCTTTTATTTGACAATCCAGTCTTTAAAATTATCGATTTATAACGATTTTCGCATCGCAAAAAAGACTTAGCGATAATCCTAACGATTGTAATATTCGGAGTACTTATTTTACCGATATTCGCTCTCGCTGTCGTCGTGAACTACTTGACAAATCGCAAACTAATTGACGAATATTTTTAATTGTTAGCGATATCGACAAAATAGTGTTATTACATTTAGAAGTTAAATTGCCCGAGAAATTGCTTAAGTTATATAAAAATAAACATAAAAAAAATGGCTTTTGAATAAAATTGGCATAAGATGAAGGGATCCTTTTCAATTGAGTGCTACCGAGTTTCGGAAGTTATATAGAGTAAAGCCGGAACAAATCGTTTCTCAACTAGATGGTCAACTAAAGGGAAGAAGAATAAGAGCATTGCCTACGGAGATACAATTAGTAATATAACTTTAAAATAATTTTTAAGTTTTAAAACTATTAAAATGTTTAAAGGTTCTAACCGTCTTGAGATTCTTTGCAACTGTATTAGCATCAACGTCCCGTCGGAGAGCAGTAGGGCATACCCATAAGTCAGTCGTCAGTAAAACGTCAGATTCATCGCATGACAGAAGCAGTCAACCGTTCAAAGTTTCCTGCGAAGGTTAGATTTGCCATTACGTCGCCATTTACTGGGGCTAGCGATTGCGAAAAAGCCTATGTCAACCTTCATTCTATTAACGTGCAAATGGTGACTTAAATTTTTTTTCAATTACTACGGAAGTAACAAAGTTCATGACATTTGTACAAAGATATGTGATCCTTATCGCAAGATTATAGTGGCAAATGCTAAGTACCCAAGAGCGCGGTACGACTATTTTATTTGGAGCTCTTCTATAGAGCAAAGAATCATGCCGCTTGGTTTTGAAAGTACAAACCATAACATGTTTTTGTTTTGAAAAACTTTGTAATGCATTGGTAGGCATTTAATAAAAACAATTTCTATAACGAATTTATTTGTCATTCCACCCTGTGCCTTTCGCATATTTTGAGGTTTCGCTAAGCTATGGTGCCACCTTTCCTTCATTTTAGTAAAATGGAAAAGTGCGTTGTCGATTATCGTAAAAAACTGCTTAGAGAATAGCTAAAAACTTAGCGCGTGTGTGAACGTAAAGAACGACACAAAAAAAAGAAAATTACGATAATAAGCGACAAAAGTAACCTCCAAGGCGAATTCATAGAAGGTGAAGTTATAACATCACATGACTGCTTGTTTTTCGAATGTTCGCTACATTGAACGATTTTCGGTTTTGACTTTTCGAAATTACGATTACACAAACAAAATACATAGGAGTTTTGTTTTTATATATTTGCTACAACCCTGTGTAAATTTGCCTTGAGTATCCTCATGTAAATGGCAACGGAGCGGCAATGTTTTCGTTGTCAATTGTATTTTGTTTTGCTCATAATTTTCACTCGTGTTTATTTTATCAAAATCACTTTGCTTGCTATCGTTATATATGCCAGCACCACTCATGAACGTGTCCGTATCTCGTTGGAAATTACCGTAGGATGCTGAATATTGTGCAATACCCATCAACGTAACTCCAACATAGAAATTACCTGAAAGAAAACATTCTTTCTTTTACATATGTACATATAGATACCGCAAAGTACGAGCAAACATAAGGAAAAGCGCAGAGCGGAGAAAGAAAAGAATATACGGAAAAAATTTAATTTTTTCAGATCACACATGGTAACGTCTATGACGCCGTTATACTTACCGGATAATGAATTTTCATATACTTGGTTCTGTCAAGTTGACACGGAACGAACGTTGACGTTCTTGAGTGATTCTAGTGTTAGATAAGAGCTTTACAAGCAACGTACAAATAATAAATAAGTCCTTAAATTTACTTGTTATAGTTCTTAAATGTTATCAAATTGTGCGCTTAAATTTCAATCACTTTGCAGACGTTTGCACACAATTCGTTTAGAGTTGAATAATAATGGAGATTCTCTACGTTTATCGAGTTTGACGAGGTTTTGTCTGGTTCCAAAGTCGGGAGCAGATAATAAAGAAGGAGTAGTTAAATCTTCAAAGACGACTGCATTAGGGGTCAATGCGAAATATGTTGTAACCCAACAAATACGGAAATATGCTCCGACTACTAGTTCAACGAACGCTGAAAGTGCTTGTTGGAACTGCAAGCAAGGGGGACGTAAGAATCATATGATATGCACATCCTGCGGCTATCTGCAAGATGTAAATGCAGAAATTGTAAGTAAAATTTTTTCTTGCGATTAGCTTTAATTAACATTTTAAAATTATATTATATTATTTCAGAATTATTTTGATCTGCTAGATTTACAAAACAGTTTTTCATTACAACAGCAAGAACTAACACGGCGTTTTCGACAGCTTCAAACATTGGTTCACCCAGATAAATTCAGTAACAAGTAATATTCGATCAATATGTTGTATATATGAATGTATATTAATTATTCTTTTTTTGTATCAAACAGAGTAACGCGGGAGCAAAATAACTCTGCCGACTGGAGTGCTCTAATAAATAAAGCATACAAAACGTTGTCTGCCCCAGTTGAGCGTGGACAATATTTACTGAAACTACAAGGTGAGCATATGCCACAGGATAATTCTGCTTTGAATACAGAATTTCTTATGGAAATGATGGAGCTCAATGAAAAAGTCGACGAAACGAATTCGAGGGAAAGTTTACAGCAAATAAATAACGACATTGCCCAACAATTAAAAGAAGGAGTCCAAGTATTAAGCGAGAAATTTGACTCGAAAGCATTAAATGAAGCAAAATTCTTGCTAGTAAAAATGAAATATCTGATTAGTGTTCAGAATAGTATCAAGAATAAGCTACAAAAAATGGAGGACAGTTAAGCTAATGCTAATATTTTTTCTGTAAATTATCTTCTGCTTTTTTGTTGCCAGGACTAATAAAGTATAACTTGTTGCAAGGGTAAAGTCTCCAGTTTTTATTGATTTGCATTGATATTACCTACCTGGGGCGGCCGCAATTATAAAAATTTAATTTTCTATAATTTTTACATGTTGGTCAAGCCAAAACTTGAACCAAGGCCAGTGAATTCTTACGTACGCTATGCAAACCACTCGGCTCTTACATACCTTTTGGTATTCAATCAAAATTTTCAGAATGTTTCGTAATTATTGAACCTGCTTACATTAAAACTTATTTTTGTTGCTTCTTTTGTTATGACGGGGGCAAAATGTAAACAAATGTGAAGCTTGGAATAGAAAGAAAGGCACGACAAAACACGCTCTCAGCTGTTTAGTTGAGAGAACAATGTTAATCGAGCAACAATCTTCGACGTATACGTATAACGTTGACATTTGAAACGTTATGTTGAGCAAAACTTATCCCAATTTTTGCAATGCAACTGATAACTTTGTTCTGCAATTATTTATAATCTAGATACAGGGATATATTATATATGTAGATAAAACTCATTTTTAAATATACGCTCCTTTGTGAGCCATCATATGCGCGGTGCTTCCGTAAATCTGTCCGCTAAGGCACGCGTTAGGCATACCACTGTCAACGTCGTTGAGTGTTGTCAATCTAAAATTTGTAGTGGATTTGTTTAGGTGTTTTGTGTTCGATGAAATAAGTGATTTTAACTTTAATTTGTTTGTGGTGCGTAACTATTGCTAACACATAAACCATAAAATTTTACAAATTTAAAAGCACAATAAACAGATGAAACCGTATAATTTTAATTTATACGAACTTTGAGAGGAATTTAGTTTGCTTACAAACTGGATTAGCTCGATGTGTTAATTTGGTAAATGAACAAACAAAAACAAGATCACGCTTTTCGAAAATATGTTGTAATTTATTTAGATATAAATTAATTAACATAAAAGTGATTTAGCTATTGATTACATTCGCAAATTACTTATTTTAAATTGGAATAAAATATTATGTTAATTCTTCTAATTTCGGTCGCCCCTCGGCCGGGATTGTCAAGCCCTTTGAGTGTACATACATATATGATTTGAAATAAAGGCAACTCATAAAAAACCCTCAGCGGTTCGGAGGCGGCTTGGTATGAACTGTAGACCCCTCCATTTGTTGGAAAAACATCAAGACGCAAAACCACAAATTTGGAAGGAGCTCTGCCGTGTTGTTTATAGTTTGCAAATCGATCACGTTCTGGAAAAAATTGTGAAATATTTCTATTAAAATGAAAATGAGAAATAAACGGAAAATAGCCAATAAAATTTGAAACAAGAGAAAGCAATTTTGACTTTTAACTTGGAGGTGAATTGCCTAATTCGTGGTGGGAAAATAGCTCTGTTTGGTGAAGAAGTAACGTAATTACCAAATAAAGAAATTTACTGATTTTTTTTTTGTATTAAAATATATCCGCTTATTTTGACGATTTCACCGTTCATTTATAGAGTCCATACTTTTCATGTTTTCTTTCATAAAAAACTTTAATAATAATAAATAATTTAATAATGGTATTCAAAATGTATTGTAATACAACAATGATGAAATTCTAAGAGTAGCACACGCAGTTGAGAACAAAGTTGAGAACTTGACGAGTACCCGCACACTTATTCATTGCTCATAGTTCGAGATTTTTCATGCATTTTGATTCCTTTCTCAGAACTTTTCTATACATATATAATATAACCTTATAGTAAATTTCGTATTTAGTCATCATTGTTTAATACGGCGAGCTAAGCATAGACAAAACATGACTTAACCTAAAACTAAAATAAACTTATGTCTCGTTTTTTCGTTTTCTGCAAGAACAAAGATTTTCATTTGCTCTAATTTTAAATTAATTTATTTTATTTTTTATATTAATTTATTTTTTTCTTAACAGAGTTTATGTTTGCTTTTGATTTTTGTGAGATGATCTGCATTACCTCTGCACTACAAAATGTTGCAAATTTCCTAAAGGGTGTATTTTAAGTAATTTCTTAGTTCTTGCTACAAAAATAAATTACTTTAAGAAACGTATTAACGTGTGCTTCCCCTTTGGCTATAACAAGAGTAGGAAGCATAAGCGAATAACAGGTTATTTAATACAAATATCAAAATCAATGCAGAATAACAGTCGGAAAAATTGATTTTATTATATTATCGCAAATATAGTATATATTTTATGTACTTACATACTCGTATTAAATGGTAATTATTAAATATATTACATATATTTTTATTTATGTGAACTAATGTAATACATATATATATGCAATTAAATGTGAACAAATATTTTCATACCAACATACATATGTATGCACATATGTACGTATGTAAAAATAATTAAAATAAAAAATATGTGCAATTATGTTATGTGCACACATACTTTTTTTTGTATGTATGTAGTATGTACGTACACATATTCATAACTTGAATAATGATAATGTACATACATACCTACGTTCATATGTATGCAAATATGTAAACAGATAAACTGCGCTAATTTTTTCGTAATAAATAAACAAAAGTAATGTGTTTATTATAACTTTAATTTATGTTTGATATTTAGTTTTTTTTTTTTTTAATTTACAATGTCGAACTTATAACATGTGTATGTATGTACATATGTGTGAATGCATCTTTATAAAACACATGTAGATATTTTCGAATTGTACAGACATTTCATTCATCACCAACAATATTATTTCGTTGATTGGTTTTTGATTGTTTATATCACTTTATAATGTTTTTTTTTTTTTTTTCTTTTTTTTTTTTGCCCACACACACACACACACACACACACACACACATACCCACTGACTTCGCACAGCACCCACAAATTTGTTAGTCAAAACATTGCGCCCAATTAAAAATTTAAACTTGATTGGCATGTATGGCACTGCGTTGCAAGTGTTTATGCCCGTCGTTACACCGCCACTCCGTTAAGCCCACGACAGCTACTTCATACATATGTACATACTCCTACATTCATATTGTACGTACACACATACTCGCATTTAGCTCGCACCACTTGAAGCTTGCTTGCTTACCTGTGAATACTCACTAAAAAATTCGCCACTCGCCGGCACAGTCGAACGTTGAAAGTGCGCTCCTACGGAAGCTACTTTCGCATTTGCAGAATATTACTACATACATACACGTATTAGCAAACAACAATAGTATTATATTATAAACTTCATTTGCATACGAATTTGCATAGAAACCGTAAACGGAACTTTGTCATTCGACGCTCGTGTTATCCGCCAAGTAATGCAATCGAGCCGAGTCATCGTCGCAGCAGCAGTTTTAGCTGCACTCAGCATTCTGTCCACGCTAAATGGCGCCGTAGCCCGCAGTGGTGGTCGTCAAGTCGTCAATAAGTACTTCGATATCAACGATGACGCAGCAGTAAATGTGAATGCGGAGTATACGCGGCCGATTGTCGGTATCCTGACGCAGGAAGTGTCAAATTTTGTTCGTCGCCATTATACGGACAAGGCGTACAGCAGTTATATTGCTGCTTCGTATGTCAAATTCGTTGAAGGTGCCGGCGGCCGCGTGGTGCCGATATGGTGAGTACCAAATCGCTGTTGATTTATTAATATTTAAAATATACATATATACATATGTATGCACGTGCGTACATATATTTATAGAGAACTGATAATGATGAACTTGTTTTGTTAAGACTTTGTTGATAACAATGCATTTTGTTGTTTTTTAAATTCCTTTATTAACTCTTTCTGACAGAGAAATATTTATTTGCATTCACATATGTATATATGTACATATGTACACAAACAATTGCTTTAGCTTCAATGTGGCTAAGTAGACAATAGCGAATAAACAGTTATTATATTTTTTGGGGCGCAAAAATATTAAATTTTGGAGTATAGAAGTGCGATTAATCAATTAATCGAACAACTGCTTAACTAAGGTGATACAATTATTGTTGTAGCATGTCGGCAAGAGTATCTAACGGGAAGTCCAGGAAACCAGCTGTTGCGAAGGGTTCGGAGAAGCGGAGGGTGTTAGATGAGTGGGTTCTAGTGCGCACTCAAAGATATAATCGTGCGAGAACTCATTTTATGCATGCTAAGTATGTTGGCGGCCGCGGTAGCCGAGTGGTTAGCATTGCGTACTGACATTCGGAAGGCTTGGGTTGAAATCCTTGTGTCGCACTAACATCCTTAAAGTTATAGAAAATTAATTTGAATAAAAAATTATGCTAAATTTTCTAATTGCGGTCACCTCTTGTGAACCCCTCCGAGTGTATTTCTGACATGAAATAAAGTTCCGCATAGAAAACAATGAGCCGTTCGTTGGCGGCTTAGTACAAACTGTAGGTCTTTCCATTTGTTGAATAAACTTCAACCAAACCAAATTGCGGGAGGAACTCGGCCTTAAATCGCTCTGTTACAAAGCGCCAATTATATACTCAAATATGTAAGTCTGTGTACGTAAAAGTTGATTCTACTACCGCATGCAGGCCATAATTATGCCAGTTTCACTCGGTACTCGAGCTTTTCGTTTGCTATGGCTGGTGATTGTATTTCGAGCAAGCATACCCTTTGTTGGATGAGAGAAGAGAGGCCTGTCGGCAGCTGGTATTGTACTGTCCTTTAGGTCTAGGACTCTTTTGTAGATATCTTTTTCCACAACCATAAAATCGGCATATGGAATAAAGAAAACGCCGTCTTGTGGTGGAGGGAGCTTCAAAATATAAAATTTAAATAATGCTATGGAGAGGACAACGTATTGCGTAACGCCTTTTTTCTGAGTTTTGTTATCTCTAAATTCCGCCACCTCGTTAGAGCCTTTCGCTATAATGCACTGATACCAGGGCAGGTGGTATGCGAGAGAAGAAAGCAGCAAGGCTTAAAGTATTCTCGTTAATGGGAGGGAAGAGTTATCGGTTGATATGATTCACCTTTGTTGACTGGAGGCTAGGGTTTTATGCACCGGAGTCGATGTGGATTTCTACCGTTATTACATTCCTATCTCATATTTTTATTGAAGGAAACTGAATAAGTCACCTCTATACCCGCTAAAGGGAATCTCGGCCAATCTCCTCCTTTTATTTCAAGACCGACTCTACGCCTCTTTTAGAGCGGCCTGCAAGTTTTTTTTTAATTCATTTTAAATTGAGGAAATGTTACAAGCTTCAAATTTTAAAATTGCTCTATTGTAATTTTTGGCTTTTTTAAAACATGTTTTATTTTAGATAATTTCGTATATACATATGTATGTATATGTTTACTCGATGTTATTTGCTTTTGTAGCTTATTTCGTAGATGATATTCAGCATGACTTAGCATTAATGAATCCCATACAAGTTTACTCAGCCACAAAAAGTGATAAGAAGCGAGGGGAGGAGGAGGAGTGTGGTGAATTGTGTACAATAAAGACGTGTCTTTCGCTTTGTCTTACAAATTACTCTTATCTATTAATAATAATAATTATTATTTTTTAAGCTTTTTAATCTCATTTACAAGGGAAATAAAATGTATGTGTATTAAGTATAGTACTATATAGTACATATGTATGTACATATAAATGGTATTGGCATTTCAAAGTCTTTGCCTAAATTATATTTCTGGCTGAAAACATTGTGATTTCACACTTTCTCAGAAGATAACAGAAATAAACAGGTGCAAAGTAAGTGGTATAACATTATGCTTTTTATTTTTAGAGTTTGGCAAAGAAGAAAAACCCAAATTAATAGATATGTATGTATGAGGCGTGATCAGAAAATAACCGTTATAATACACTTATGCCAGCGTTTTTTCCATTCCTCGAAATACTTCTGAAGTGCGTTTTTTGTCTGTCCGTTGGCAGAAAACAGAGATGACTGAGTACCTACATATAAAAGTAAAAAGTAATCCATTATTTTTGCAATAGATGACTTTAGTATTATAGTTTTTATAGTTTTAGTAATTTGTATCTCGCGTACAGTAAGTGCGATTGGATTACGCTAGACGACGTTTCTAACGCCTCATATTTTGTACTAAAAAACAGAGAATGGGAGAAGTGTTAATCACTTTACTCAGCCGTTTTTGAGACAAGAAGAAAGAGTGACACAGAGAAAAAGTATGTAAAATCCGTAGCTGATGTGAATGGTGACTGGTGATGAAAAGTGGATCACTTACAGCAACGTCAAACGAAAGCGATCGTAGTCGAGGAGCAGTGAACCGGCATAAACGGCCTACAAGCCAGCCTTGGCGGTCAGGAGTCATTGGGCATTGGCAAGAAATCATCCACTATAAGCTGCTCCGCTACGGTCAAACTCTTAACATAGTCCTGTACTGTGAACAATTTTACCGTCTGAAATAAGCAATCGCCCAGAAGCGCCTAGTTTCGGCCAATTGGAAGGGAGTTGTGCTTCATCAGGACAATGTCAGACCACACACATCGATGGTAGTGACTCGCCAGAAACTCGTAGCGCTGGCTTTCGGAGGTTCTCATGCATTCGCTTTATAATGCAGAACTCGTACCAAGAGATTACCATCTCTTCTTATGTAAGGCGAATGATTTGGTTGGTGAAGAATTGGTCTCAAACGAAGCCTGTGCGAATCGATTGCTGCTCCAATTGTTTGTCAATAGGGATAGGAGTTTCTATGAAAGTGGTACTATGACATTACATTCAAAATGGCAAAAGGTTATCGAACAAAACGGTACATATTTACATATATCGGATAATTCGAACTATAATAAGAAAACATTCGATTCAATGTAAAATCACTGGATGGTCTTTTAATTGACCATATTATATATTTACGCATATAGTGGGTACTTTGAGATGCATACATGGAGTTAGGCCATTCTTGGTTAATTAAAATTATAAAAATATATTCATGCTTTTGTACTAACATATGTATGTATATAAACATGTATGCAGCTGTAATAATAATCAATTTTATAATGTTGGATTTTGCCAACTTCGCTTTAAAGATTAAAATTGGAATTGAAATTTATAAACACATGTTTTTTCTTTACATGTCTACAACAATATTGACTTAATTCGTGAATATGTGAAGTAATGAAACTTGAAATTAACTGAAACATATTTTTCTTTTTAATCATTTCTGTCCTCTTAACATTTTCGAAGTAAACTCGAGAGAAAACCGTCACCTTAAGTCTTGAAGCACAGGCGAAGTTTTGATCTATATAATTTTTTTAATTTTTTAAAGATTTTAGAAAAGATACTTTATTTCAAAAACTGTCTTCCATTCCTGGCTGCGAAGCATCCAAGTAAATGTGATCGTCCATAGGCACGCAATGTGAATTCTTTTGATTTCACTTTTGTCATGGTATCATGACATAAAAAAAAGACAATTCGAAAATTCGTGGTCTTTTCAAAGACGATTCGAAACTCTACCTCAAGTCACCAAAATGCACAGCGCAGAAGGAAGAGAAGCTTTGCCGAAAATCGTAGGCCGTTCGAAACCATTTGAATAAGGCTGGATACGAAAAGTAAGAAATTAAGCCCTTCAATTTCATACAAAAATAATGGATTTCTTTTTACTACACTTAATATTTTAAGCATTAGTTTTTATTCTATACAATAGTTGGGCAGACCGAAACTTTTAGTAGCTCAATTAGAAGCTCGAAATCTAGTCGTGTTAAATCATTTAGAAAACTTTAGATGTCCATAGATTGGAAATTTTATTTATTTTTTGTTTTCGGTTCATAACTTCTCCAAATAAGAAACTAATATCGTTAAATAAATACGATTATTATAATTAATATATGCCTAGGGGAGTACAATGAGTCTCCTACTAACTTAATTGCGGCCGTTTGGTCGGTTCCTTAACCTCTCATCTTTCAATTCTCAACTAACCATATACCAAGTAAAATCCATTTAACAATTAGAAAAATGTAAAAAATGTACTTCGTTGCTAAAATAGACTTTAATAACGATATGCTTATTTGTTGAAATATCACGACACTGCCAACGATTGAACACAGTAAGTTCAATAGTCCAAGTTTGAGTGGTTTCCGTATTTCCTCAAAATCGACAATCCGCCATGTCGATGTTTTTTCGTTCTCTCATTAGTTCCAGGTTATATTAATATATGTACATACATTTATATACCTCTGTGAATGAAAAAAAGTACCGCAAATTTTTTCCTTGCTGAAAATTTCATATTAACTCATATACATATGTATTTACATTTATAGGGTGTTTAAAGAGAGAATTAAATTAATTTTATTCTAAAGTGAGACATTGAGTACGTAACATATTTGATTTTTATTTTGAATTACATTATTTTATTATACTATATTTTATAATAATTTTTATTTAATTTCTTTTATTTTTTTTTTTTATTTTATAATTTCATTTGTTTAATTTTTTTCCTTAATTTATTTTGTTTTTTCTTTTATTTAATTATATTATGTTTTGTATAAATTTTTAACTAAATTATTACTTTAGTTTATTTTCATTAATTTCGTTTTAAAATATTTTCATTTTGTTCTATTATTATTACTTTATTACTATTTTATTTTTATTTTCTTTTTATTATTGTATGTTTCATTTTTTGTTTTATGTTTTATTTTTTTATTATTTTTTATATAATTATGTTTTATTTATTTATTTTATATGAACTTATTTTGTTTCATTTTTTATTCCAATTGCTTTTAATTGATTTTACATCCCCTTTTTACTTGTGATATTTTTTATTCTGTTTATTGGTAATTATTTTTACTTCATTTTTTTTATTTGGATTTTTTCCTATTTATTAATTTATTTAATTTTACTGTGTTTTATTTCTTTTGTTTAATTTATTATTTTTAGTTCCATTTATTTTGTTTTATTTTTTATTATATATTTTATATTATTATGCTTTATTTATTTTACTTTGTTTGTATTTATTTAGTATCATTTCTTTTTATTTTGTTTATTTTTAATTAATTTTATTTTATTTTCTTTATTTAGGATTTTTTTATTTTAATATATTTAATTTAATCAAAATTAGTTTATTTTTATTTAGTTTATTTTAATTTTATATTACTTATTTTCTTCTTTATATTTACTTATTTCTTTTTATTTAATTTTATTTTATTTTGTCTATAGTAAATTAGTTAACATAAGGATAGTATCTATGCTGTTTGTTATATACGTAGCATAAGAACATAAGTTATTGTAAACATAGTATTATAAATAGCATTATAATATCGGTTTTATCATCTTTTTATCAGACATTCCCCGGTATAATTCTTCTTCAGATTATTTTCTGAGTTTTAAGTCGTAAATCTAAATATTTCCGCTAATATTTCAAGGGTTAGTGAGTTAAAATTAGTTTCTTCAGAGATTTGTTATAATTCGTAATATTGTTTTGCTAAATTTATGTTTTATAATTTTATTTGGATTAATTATATTCATAAAAAAACTTAAATTTATTTAATGTTTATATATTTTATTTTATTTTGTTTAATTTGTTTTTATTCGAGTTTGTTTTATTTTAATTTTTCTATAATTTATTTTATATTGCTCCGATAAATGAATTATTATTTACCTTTTAATTTATTTTGTTTGCTATTATTTATTTTATTTTATTCTATTTCATATATATATATTTTTTTTTGTAATTTTGTTTTGTTTTACTTTAATTTGCTTAATTTTATTTATTTTTATATATACTGTTATTAATTTTTTGTTATTTAAATTTACTGTATTTTAATTTTATTTTTAAATTTTGTTTTATTTATTTATTTTTTATTTGGTATCATTATATTAATATAAAATATTTCATTTCCCTTTTATATATAATAATTTTAATTTAATATATTTTTTTTAATAATATTAAATTAAATTAAATTAATTAATTAATTTATTCAATTTATATCGCTCTTTTGCGTTTTATTTATTTTTTAACTTATTTTATTATGTTTCAATTTGTTTATATTTTTCCTTTTTTATTTTGGTTGATTTAATTTTTAATTATATTTATTAATTTTTTATTTATTTAATTTTTTTATTTTATTAATATTTATAATTACTGTAACCTAATTTTTTAATTTAAATTTAATTTATATTATTTATTTTATTGTATTTCATTTATATATTATTTTATTTTATGTTATTTTTTTTTGTTTTACTTTAATTTGCTTAATTTTATTTATTTTTTTAATTATTTTTATTTTTACTGTTACTCGTTTTTTTGTTATTTAAATTTACTGTATTTTATTTCTATTTTTAAATTTTGTTTTATTTATTTATTTTTTAATTGGTTTCATTATATTACTATAAAATATTTCATTTCATTTTATATATAATAATTTTATTTAAATATATATGTTTTTTTCAATAATATTTAATTTTATTAAATTAATTAAGTCATTTATTTATTTTATTTCAATTTTTTTATATTTTTCCTTTTTTAATTTTTAATTTGGTTAATTTAATTTTTATTTATAGTTGTTAATTTTTTTATTTTAATTATTATAATTTTGCTATATTTAATTTTTTTATTTAATTAATATTTATTATTATTGTTACCTAATTTAAATTTAATTTTTTTAAATTTAATTTTTAAATTTAAATTTAATTTACTTTATTTTATTTTAATTCTGTTCAATTAAAATTATAATATAAAACAGTGAAAGGTTATACACATAGTTCTAAGCTGGTATTTTGAAAATTTAATTTTTTTTACTTATTAAAGTAAAAATGTCATAAAAATTATGGGAAATGAAGTAGTTGTTGTAAATATGCTAATTAGTTACAACGTGTATCTGCCTATGCAAGGTACATACAAATATTAATGTTAATCGTGTCACCCTCTAACAACTTGTATTAATACAATACTACCACTACCATTACCGCTGGTCATGTTTTTAAATAAATAATTCTCACTTTCTAAGCACAGTGTTTTTCAGAGATTATCATTTTTAGTTATGGCAAACAGGTTAACAATTTTATCGGGGAAGTCTCATATTTTTTGCTGCAGCACGTTCGTTACATGTACTTTTATTAACATATTGGATAATGTGATTTCGATTCCACATAACGAACATATTGACTGTGTCATTGGCCTATGATTGTTGATATACACATTAGACTGGTTCAAGAAATTGTTTCTTTCTCTCATTAAAAATAATTTATTTTTTTTAGTACTTTCTGCAGATTTGAATACTGATATTAAATTTTAGAGACTGAAAATCGCGTGTAAAATTCTACTATCGGATAGTCATTGTCAGCGGCATTTCGGTGGTTAATATGAAATTATAGAAGAATCAGCGCAGAAAAATGCTAAATTAAAACAGAACCTCTACAGTGAAATACCGTTACTATGAATACCTAAATCATAGAATAAATAAATATTCTCTTCGTATTTTGCAAACAACCATACCTTCGTATTCAGACATTTGACTTTAGACTTTGAAAATAAATACAGTAAAAAAATTTAATCAAAAATTAGAAGCGGCAAAACGTGCTACATTTACGCCACAACGGCAGCATTTACGCAATGTTATGCTTCAAAAAAATGCGATTATTATTAGATAATTAAGTGTGAATTAAATAAATCGATTTTTAATCTGCTATGAGCAAATGCGTAGTTATTATTTTAAGAAAAAATTTAAAACACTCATTTATAAATAAACATTTGCCAATGTTAATGTTTACAAAGCGCATATGTATTTTTATAAAAAAAAAAAAAACACAGCAAAACATGAATATATATTATTTATAATTGATTCGCTATTTTATTTGGAATGCATGCAGATGGCTGAAGTTGTTTGAATATCCGGATGTGTACGAATCCATTTTGAAAAACTGTGCATATTTTTACTCAGAGATTTACGCACACAATGTGCATATTCATGAATATATAGGGCTATCCATTTCGTGGTGTCAAAGGTACTGTGCAGTATTTTGACATCTGTCAAACTTAACTGTCAAACCAAACATATTTTGCTTTAGTTAAAGGTCTGGTATTCATGACAATAAAAAATGGTGATTCAAATGTGGCTACGATTCGTCCAACTACTCAAGCAAATGGTAAAAATTTTAAAGAAATTTGAAGAGATGAGCTCGAACTTTCTTACCGCACATTATGGTGCATTTAACACTTGAACTTACAACTTCATCCACAAAAAGTCTAGCTTACACTACAACTGAAACCAGCTGATCATTCATCATTAATATCATACATCGATTTAGTGCTGGAACAATAAGTAGAGAACGTTGGTTTTTTAAACAAAATTTTCTTCAGCGAACAGGCACGTTTCTCATTCAGCGGATATGTAAAAAAACGAAATTGCCATATTTGGTGAATATGGCGTTTTTTCGAGAGAAATTTTCCCTCCGCGTAAAATACTTGTCTTCGCGAAGTTAATTGGCTACCGAAATTGTACGATTTGATACCGTTCGACTTTATAGTTGTTGTGCTACTCGAAAGACTGTGTTTATGCGTATAAAACATGTTAGCAATATTTGTCTAGTTGAGACTGCGATACCGGCCAAAATGGTCCAAAAAGTTGTCGAAAATCACCTCAAACTGGTCGAAGTTTGCAAAAACTCGCGAGGCGAACATTTGAATTATGTTTTATATATGTATTTTATATGTATTTTAAAGCTTTTTATTTACGTGATTATTTTTCGAAAACGCAAAATGGTTAACACTGTAGTTGTGCATGCACTTGAGCATATAAACGATTGAGAAGCGCGAAAATGGTTTCCAGTGCTCTAATTGGTCATTTTATTAGCAGCTAAGAAACTTGAAAACTTACAGTAATTTACATTAACAACATTTGCAAAAAAATTATCATTTATTTATGTGTTAGAAGAATGATTTTTAGACATATTGGCCTATTCAAAATATGTCTTCAATTTACATATTTGCTAAACATTTTTCAAGGTCTTGCTAAAAAAAATTTCATTTTGCTCATTAGCATAAAAGTTCAAAATCTCACTTAATATGCAACATTAACAACTAGAAATTGTGCGCTTGACGGCAATGAAGTACTCGTACTCAGTCAATGCCAAGTTCTTAGGCTAAAAATACACTGCGTTGATGCCTTCGGGGTCATACGCGCTAGGAAAGCTTCGTTAAAATAATATCACTCGAATCAGTGCTATTTTAGCAGGATGCCATAAATTAAATGGCTTAAAATGTCTTCAGTTGTCCACATTCAACATTAAACATTTCTCATGTCCATATTTCGGTTTTTGATTTATTGAGACCAATTTATAGCTGTTTTACAACTGTTGTTTTCCATGTTCTTTTCGTCGCTAGTTGCTCGTGACGTGATGTGATTCGATGTGTTTAACTTGTCATGCTTTCTTTCTTGATTTAGAAAAATATATAATTACAGCTTTAAAATAGCAAAAAGTAGTAGCTGTTGGCAAGAGTAATTCTGCCTGGCTTTTCATAGCTGAAATTATGTAGGTTCCAAGATTGACGAAATTATCTACGATTGCTTCTTGTTTGCATTCACTTTCAGACCAAAACCGCTACTGGCTTCGCTGCTTCATTAAAGAAGAATGTAGAACTAACGTATCGGTTGTTGGGATCGACATTCTCAATGTCATCGACACAACGCCAACTGCTGCTCTAATCCCACATTACCCATTCCCTTTAGCTCTGCTGTAAATATTATTTACTTCACCAATAAATTAAATAAGACACACGATAAGGAGTCATTTAGTCTGACAAGTGGTTTAGTATCGAACGATACAGAGCGTTCGTTCGCGATTCGGACAGAGCTGGCTGCTGGTTTACACAGCCGGTTTAGCTGTTCGGGGATACCGAATTCAGATAAAGTGGCGAAGAGCCAATCCCTTTTCTTGCTTAAATCAACGAAGAGTTGATGTGTGTCAATGCTTTAAGGTTTTTTCAAAAACTGGGCGCTGATGAACATCTTATCTATCATAGCTTTATCGGGTTTAAAGAGTCTTTGATAAGGTCCAATCAGTTCGTTGGCATTGGGCTTTAAACTATCATAAAATAGCTTCGATAAAGATATGTATGAAATTTGGTGGGTTGACCGGTAACAATTTTTTGGTCCGCTGCTTTCGCCTCCCGTTGCATTGTTATGCTTCAGGCGATCAATTACTATTTGGATGTAATCGATTTGCGATTCGGGTTAAATGGAATTTAGCAGGCTAGAGAAGTGCTCCGCAAACAAAGTATACTCTGAATATTCATCGTAAGTTTACCTCTTTGGGTCCTAAATAAGTACACCAAATCTTCTGTCCCCACATTTTCTCATAAGGCTTTCGAGCGTTACAGCTGTCGGAGCTTAATAAAAAAAATCAGGTAAAAAAATTTCGGAAATGAAACAAGATGGATCTGAAAAGTCCCATATGCCTTCTACTAGGTTTAATTCCTTAAAAATATCTGATTAAATTTTAAAATAAAACTTAGAAAACTTGTATATTTTTAATTTAATTATTTTTTTATTTATTATTGTTGTTTTAACCGCAAAATTATTACCCAAAGTAGTTTTTGGGATTGCTGCGGAACTTGTAGTCTTTTGCCGGCTTAAAACCCGGACCGTGCCGGTACAAACACCTGCAGGAACGTTCGGATTTAGGTAGCCGCGGCTGAATTCTTGAACCCCTAACCCGCAACGGGTTTCATTAAACTGTTCAATTTCATATTATATTGTATATAGTGAAGAGTATTTTGTTTGATTATACAAGAAAAAAATTAATTAAAAATCTTTCATTTATTTTTTGCTTTCAGGATTGGAAGGGAGAAGGAATATTATGAAGATATTATGTCAAAAATTAATGGGTGAGTAAGAAGTTTTGGCCGTTCTTACCATTTTCATTCGTCTTATACATTTACAATTTTTTTTTTTTAGTGTATTAATGCCAGGCGGTGCAACATTCTTCAATCAATCAAGCGGCTACGCCGATGCCGGCCACCATATTTACAATATTGCAATTGAAATGAATGAACGTGGCACATACATGCCTATTTGGGGCACTTGCCTAGGGTATGAGTTGCTCGTCTATTTGACAGCGAATAATACAGATCTACGCAACGATTGTTCATCATCGGCACAAGCCTTGCCATTGGAATTTGAGAAGGACTTTCAAAATAGTAGACTCTTTGCCAAGGCAAGTGACGAAGTTATCCACATACTTAGTACATACAATGTGACGGCGAATTTTCATATATTCTGCTTTACGAAAGAGGTAGGTGGCTTGGGATGAGCTTGTTGGTGATTTAAGTTGCTTTACTAATTGTTTATAATTATTAGTGTAATATATGTAATTAAGATACGTAAGTTTGAATATTTGCTTATCAATATAGTGCGCTTCATATATAATTCGTTGTACAGTATCTGTTCACTGAATCATGGCCGATGAGAAAAATTCTGACATTTTCACTTTAACCGTTGGTGAAATACAAACTAATTTAGGTAACGGTAAGAAAGCGGTATCTTTATATAATCTAATATTTTGTTTGTCTGCCTCTGCTCTCAATAACAGCCGCAATTCGCTGTGGCATCCTTTCGACGCAAGAGATTAAAATTTGTTTCATTCAGAGTCACTTTTGTCAAATATCCTTGACTTCTATAAAAAATTAACCTTACAGTTACAATATTGGTATACCTTGAGTTTCAGGTATGCCCAACCATTTTTAAATGTATTAAGATCGGTTAAATTGCCGGGCCAAGGGTAGACCTGAAATCTTAATTAATTGAGGACATCTTTGATAGCTCTTGCTGTGTGGCATTGACCACCTGCATTGAGTACCGCACGAAAGTGTATTATTCCTTAATATGTTTCAGACTATCTAAATTATGGACAATTTCCAGGAGGCGTTTGTATTGAGCAGAGCGCATTGTTTGTTCTACATCATCACTGTGGTTTGCTGTTTGGCCTAATTTAGCATTTTTCTCATCATTGTGTTGGCCAATTTAGGCTTTTTTGAATCATTATTCGATCTTCTCTGGTCGTAGCCTTCCGAATTCCAACAATTTTGATATTTCTCGAACAAATGGAAAGACCTACGGTCGATGGATTTTTGACGAGCTTTTATTTCATGCAAGAAAAATACTCTGACGGATGACATTCCTTGCCCAGGGGCGAGCATAATTAGAAAAATTAATTTTTCTACAATTTTGTATCTTGGTCGAACCAGAACCCTAGCCTTCAGAATGGCAGTACACAATGCTAACCACTAAACTGTTGTCATTTTACTTACCGTAGTATCCTTCAACAGATTTTATTACACCTACTGGTCGCGGAAAATACTACAACGAGAGAATTCAAAAAAAAAGAGGGAAACAAACTTACAAATATATTACGAGCATATTTTATATGGGAAGAACAATTCATTGTTGTTGACTGTTAAAATCATGAATTACTCATATATACGATACTATGTGCCTCTCTACACTTGTGAAACTGCATTTACTATTTATATAACATAATTTAATTTAGTATTTTCGCCGACAGTCTCGTTACATAAGGTTTTAAGAGAATCTTCTACTTGATGTACTTTCAGACATTTGCTACCTACGGCCTGAATAAATACTGGAACGTTCTGAGTATCAATCATGATTGGTACGGTGCGGAATTCATATCGAGCCTGGAACATGTTAAGTATGTACATACATATGTACATTGTTTAGTACAAAAGAATCTCAAACATTTTCTAATACAAAAACTACATTTTGCTTTCAGGTATCCATTTTATGGAGTTCAATTCCATCCGGAAAAGGTGCTTTATGAATTCATACCAAATCGCAACATTACCCACACCTCACAAGCTGTTATAGCTTCACAATATTTTGCAGACTTCTTTTTAAATGAGGTGCGTAAGAATCGCAACCATTTCGCCAATCGGACCGAAGAAATCAATGCACTCATCTATAATTACCAGCCGGTGTACACAGGTGCTAAGGGCTCCGCTTTCGTGCAGCAATATTTGTTTGACACACAATTCTATGGTACATCGTCTGGCGCCACAAAATTACATTGCCTGTTGGCGTTAATTACAATTTGCGCACTAGGCGCTTGGAGGCGTGTATGACGTCATGACGTGTTTAGAATTTTCAGACCAAGCGGTCGAGTAGGCCATAATTCGTGATTTTGTAATAATTTGTTTGCTCGCTTTATAGACTTACTGCACTAATCTATATATCGATGTATTTATGTATTTCTGTATGTGCCATGGATGTTCGACCATAAAATGCTGCTGTAAAGTTCCTACAAACATTAAACACTATACATGTATGTACTCGTATGTATGTACGCTGCTGCGCTATACGATGAAATTGTAAAAGTAAAAGCGTAGAGACATTAATTGACAATCAATTCTCTGCAGGGATAATTTAATTATACACTAATTTTTAATTACATCATTCACTTAGTTAAATACAATGCTATAGTAATTATTGGCATTAATGCGTACGAACATTTCAAGTGCATGATGTAGGCCTAAAAATAGATAAATTACATTTATGTGTGCGTGTGTATAGCTTAATACATAAATATATGCAAAACATCTCCGTAAAAAACTTAACAAAGCATCATATTGAATTAGCTATGCTTCTGTGATTTTTAAGTTCAAAATGTAATTAATATCAGTATAAATAATCATCCTCGGTATTATTAAAGTTATAGCTAAATTTCTTATTGTAATGGATTTAAATAAAAAAAAATAGTTAAAATTTAATAAAATATATATAATAAAAATATGTACACATATCAATAATTTAATATTAAGTTTACAATCAATATAAATCTTTTTGCATTGCGTTCTTTTGAAATATTAATTTTTGAAGGAGATTACAAAGCGATATGAAAAGGCATACAAATCTTCTGTGTCTTTGTATCTATGTACATATACTATGTGTACTTCTTTAGTGCTACTTTGAGAAGTTCTTCCGAAGCCAGATGTACCTACTCGTACAGTCTTCTGGAATTAAAAATTGTAGAGGTTGTCATTATTTTAGTTTCGGCTGCCGAATTCAAAATTTGTATGTAGTAGTTGCTTGGGAAAAAGTGGTTTTTTGATTTATTTTACACTTCTAATTTTCAATTTGATTAGAACAGAGAGATAGAGAAACTGAAGAAACAGTTTCGTACCATAACTTTCAATAGAAATTATATTTTATAAATTTATTTATTTGCTTATGCGCAATTTACTTACAATTCCACTTCAGTTAAATCAAAATAAAGATTATGCTGTACGCCAACAACATTTCAAGTGCAAAAAAGCTTGAAACATTATCAGTGAATATACAATGCTTAATGTTAGTCAAATACAAAGCCTAAAAGTATGCTACATGCTTAATATGATTACTTTGTTATATACAGATAGAAATATTTATTTAGAGATGATTTATGATTTTAGTTGAATTTAATATCAGCCACGTTAAATGCACAGACATATGTATATATTATATAGCAGAGGCATTTATCAAATTCTCTAAAATTCGCTTAACTGCTTCGGTTAGACTTCCTGGCCCTTCAGATAAATATTTTTTGAATTAACTTCGGTTAGTATTACCTTCGTACTTTCTATATTTCACACAGTTTTTATATCATTCACATTTACCATGCTCTCATAAAAGTTCTATAGTTGATAATAACAGGCCTATTCTGTAGAGGTAACAAAAATTATTATATTTGAAAAAAAAAACATAAGAATAAAATACAGTTTCAATAACTATGTGCTCAGACACGAACCTTAAACAGTTTGAGAAACAGTGTAGCAATGTTGTTAATATACTGTCTTTGAAATAAAAACTTTGATAATTTTAAATATTAAAACGTTAATGCTAAAATTAGAATATATATATTTTCGAAATATACTCGGAGGCGTGGGCTTTCCCTGCCAAGGGGCGACCCCAATTAAAAAATTTAACTTAATTTTTTATCGAAATTAATTTTCCATAACCTTTGAATGTTGCTAGCACAGGGCTTTGCAAAACTTTTGATAGATCGATGGTTTCGATTTGTTGACTGTAAACGTTGTCCATATCAATATCCTCCCATTTCCACCATAAAAAAATCATTATGAAATCAATGACTCCGCCGAAACATAAACCACAATAAAAAAAATATACGTTAAGGATGGAGAGAGATTTTCAACAATAAATCTTGGATTTTTCGAGCCCCGGATGCGTCAGTTTTGCTTAATGATGTAGGCAGCGCGGTGGACATGGGCGTCATCAGTCAAGATAATTTTTCGATGAAATTTTTGTAGTGAATTTTTATCATTTCAATGCGTTGTTGAAGCGTTCATCGTTCAATTTTTATCACAGGCGTGGTTTTTACTTGTTAAATATCATAAAATTATAGCGTCAATAGTGACATCTACCGGTATGGCAGGCTGTTCAAAATAACAGCTCTTATTTGAATTTTTGAAAACTAATAATTCTTCTTTCGAAAATTTAAAAAAAGGTATTTTTAAATCTTTAGAAATCATAATTAAATAAGATGAAAAGTTTTCAGAATTTAAAAAACAAAACATAGAAAAACATATGTAAAAATTCATTTGACATTGAAAAATGTGAATCCTCAGGTAAATAAAGCAAGAAAAAACATATTTTTTTTAATGTACGAAGAGGACAGTAAGAAAAAATCGTTATCGAGTTCGGAAATCGAAGTGAGTCTGATGCACTAAAATTCGGCCGACGGTACAATTTGGTTTGAAATTTGATCGAGCTTCAATTTATTTATTTTTTATAGGGGTTGTGGGCTCCAGTGCCAAATAAAAACGAAACATAAAGAAAATAACAACAAATCCAAGTGCAAATGCGAAAATGGTGCCAAGTAGGTTTTCGCATCGGCGCGTTTCAATTTGGTAGGAACAGGAAAAAATGAAGTCTTGGTAGGTTTAGTGTCAATGTTTTGAGTTAATGGCAAATAATAAGGGGATAATGACATATACATACATACATACATATGGCATCCGAATCCCGCAATCACACTATTTCGATGGACCAGTACGGATTTACATACGTATATGTACATAGATGCAAATTTCTTTGTATAACGACACACATACATACATACATATATATATCACTGTGAAATGCATATTTTCAGATTTTCCGCTCATTTTTGTAAACATGAACTGCAGCCATTTTCCGTCGCTTCACGGCAACTAGTAGTGTGCCAGAGCCCAAATCAAAACAACCTGCAACGAGCTGCACGAAAGTAAGTATATTAACAGCACATAGTACATATGTATAATATAATATTTACAAAACAACGCCAATATGTTGCACGTACATATTAGCTGTATTCTTCATAAGGGTTATTAACTTTGTTCGCCAGGCGGTGGTATTGCTCATAAAAATGTATCACAATAACAACTATTCCTTTCAAATTCGAAATTTTGTGGCATATCAACTTATTGAGGTTATAAACAAAACTGCTTAATTTCAATTTTTTTCATTTTGTTTAACACTCCTGCACACATACATATGCACTTTATATGGTAGATAATGATACAGTCAGCGTTCCATCTCACTTAGCTCTTTCTTATTTTTTTAATTTTAGTTTTGGCAAAGAAAATTGTTTATAACACATACATATGTACATATGTACAACAACCTTCAATTGTATGATTTGACCATGCAAGACCGTGTATTCAATATATAAAATATACGAAACAAAACTTTTTTTTTTTAAATGGATTAGAGAAATGTGATTATTTAAGTTATATTATGTATTTTTTTTTTTTGGAACAAAATATAATTGCATATACATATGTATATGTAAATACAATTTAAAAAAATATATATTTATTATATTTTTCGTCTGCAAATTTCCTTTTTAAAACTGATTGAATTGAAAATAGAGAATACTTGTTTTTGGAAGTGCTAACATAGGTAGAAACACTTGATACTCGTCTTCAGAAATGTGGGGGGAAAGGCATGATGGTGTATAGTAGGAGAGCCCAAGATATAAAATGAAATGAATTAGACCATTGTATTTGGAAGCTTTGATGATAAAAAAGGTTTTATGTTGTGTAATATAAAGTATATATGTATGTAAAGTATATACATATGCACATACATGTGTATGTACAATCTATATTCGTTCAAGAATGTATAAATCGTCACAAAAAGCTTGTGAGTCAGATGTTGATAGTATACTCGCATGCACGTAAATATGTAGAGTACATATGTACATATACCTACGTATTCACAATCGAAATGTGTCTTAACAAGTTAGGTTTCGCGCTCAATTTTTTTTTGAAGCGTTTAAAAATAGAAGAAGAAAAAGAAATAATAATAAAAATAATAAAAAAATAATAATAATGATAAAAATAAAAATATAATAATAATAATAATAATAATAATAATAATAATAATAATAATAATAATGATACAAATGAAATCGGATGAAAGTCATACCCACATCTCATATAACGGTTAAGGAAACCAAGAATATATTTTGAAAGTACCAAATGTGATTATTAATATTTATGTAAATTTTAATTCTGATTGCTCATGGCATCATCGATTTTTAGTTGTGTTCCAAAAATAGAATTTCGATAATTTGAGGGGAATAGCTGGTCTAGAGCGCAAAAAAATGGGCATATTTTATGAATTTATTTTGACTCAACAAAGGAATTAATCCAAAATCTCTGAAATAGTTTTAATAATACAGGTTTTATCGTACAAATACAAATTTTTCGTGTGTTTTAATTTCGAAATGGCCGCTGTCAAGTATTTCTCCGAAAACGCTTTTTTTCTAATGGATCCATGGACGAAGACGTAAACTTCTTAATTTTTGTCCTCGGTCAAAAATATTTTTTTTTGTTTCTACAATAAATAACAACAACAAGAGGCGTGGAAGGATTTTTTCAACATTTTGTTTATTTTTAGCGAAGTGGTGCACGTTTGAAAAAAATGTTACAATTTTCACTATAAAAAGGTTTTCGGAGAACGGTATTTCTAATGCACTGTCAAAATTTCGTAAGTATCGGTGAAGATTTGTTCGAGTTATGTCTTCGGCCAGTTTAAAAAAAGTGATTTCGAGAAAAACGCTTTTAAAGTTGAAGGTCACGCGAGGCACACCGGCGAGGTACTGCCGTCGAATGAAAAATTTGGGCATTTAGACATTTAAGGCAAACATTTATTTCGATTTTTTCAAAATTCTAGACCAGTTACCCCCCTTAAATAAAACATTTATAGAGATTATGCACTTTCACAAGCGCTTCTTTCATTCTGGCATATACTCTTCAAACTTGATTTTCGAAATAGTCTTTAGTACTTTCAGCGATCTGTTTTTCTTCAAATTAGCGCAATTTTTTAATTCGTCTGTAGTAGGAAAACTTTACCATTAGAGTAGACCCCGTGTGCATAACCTTCGCGTTGAACCTTTTTGGTTTTGGCAGCCAGAATCATATTCTTAAAATCATGTTTCACCACCTCTTAACTTTATTTCCATTCACCAGTGTTTTTGTTGAAAACTCTACGGTTTTGAATAAAATATCACTTTCGCGCGTTTCATATTCAAAACATCGGAAAAAATTTTATGACATTTTCCAATCGATATGCCAACATCGTCAGCTACTGCTCTAATTATGATTCCTTGACCGTTCATAACTATTTCCTTTACTTTTTCCACATTTTCTTCGGTTGTTGGTAATGTGTGCATTTTTAAGCTCTAGATTTGCTCGCCATTGGATTTCGTTAGCACTTCATACATTCATTCATTTTTTTTTCAAAATTTGATATAAATTCTTAAGTCCATTTCTTTGAACAGAAGAAAATCGCCGAGCTCCGGTCTAACCTTAGGGGCTGTCACAGACAAAGTCATCAATTAAAAAAGAAAATTGCATCATACTACAGGGTCATGAGTACCAACTCAATGAAAGATCGATTGTCAAATCTTTCCAAGCTCTTCAAAGTTAAAAAAGTTAAAAATTTTATAATGATTTCTTATATGAAGGTTCGATTTTTTTTTCGGTGCAGTCCGAACGAATGGTATCCAATGTTCTTTCGCACCCAAAGTTAGCTTTTTCTTACTTCTTGTTTTGCTTTGATTTTTTTTCTAATCAGAGCAAAAAGTATTTAAAGATAATTCTCACACTTTTGGATTTATTTCTAAGATATACACATCATATAAGTATACCAACATACATACATATGTTAATAGCATCGCAAGATGAATGGATGTGCTGCTGTGGTTAAGCCTTTTGTCGGCGTCTTATGCATCGATCGAGCGAAGGAAATGAGTCGCGGCATAAGCAGTTACATAGATAACGAGTACGTTGAATATTTGGAAGCCGCTGGAGCTGAAGTTGTTCCTATTTGGTATGTTAATGTTTTTTCTTTAAAAACATTTAAATGTGCAAAAAAAACACTTTCTCTTTCATTCCAAGGATTGATAAAAGCTTAGACTATTACGAAGATATATTGAGCAAAGTAAATGGGTGAGTCATGGTGTCGTGAGTATGTAATTTAGGTAAATCAAATAAATTTAAATTAATTAAATTGAAAAAAAAATTAAATAAATTAATAATAATAAAATAATTCAGTACACATGACAAAGGTAAAATTCCGAAGGCTGCATGGGTGAGAGAGAACGAGAAAAAGAGAACCCTGTTGCTCAGTTTCGTCGGAATTTTTATGCACACGAGAATTTTTCTGCATATGCCTTTAGAATGGTTAAGTCCTCTCTTGATAAACGAAACCAAACTCTATAAGTCCCTTGTCGTTCCTGGACGATGACAACATCTGACGAATCGGCGTTAGAAGTTTTCGAGAGCAGGGTTTTGCGTAAGATTTATGGCCCTCTACGAGTTGGGAACGATGACCTGTATGAGATACACGACATAGTTCAGCAAATCAAAAAGTCCCTGCCGGTGGAATCAGAGGAAGGGGTAGACCTCCAGTTCGTTGGAAAGACCAGGTTGGGAAGGATATGGCTGGACTTGGTATTTCCAACTGGCGCCAGACAGTGAAAAAAAAACAATGAATGGCGTAATATTATAAATTAGGCTATAATCGCGTATGGGCTGTTTACATCGCTAAAGAAGAAGAATAAGGAAGTCTGCTTGAAACTCTTTAAGACGCTCCAAAAGCAAATTTTCATTGATATCGTAAATTTGCATGAATTTACAATAAATTCAGTTTTTATTTCTGCGTCTTCATTGTTAGTAGTCGCTCACATCGCTTCGAATGTTGTAATTGCGGTAACGAATGATGCGTGTTTTTTCCCCTGGACATCACGAATATTAAAGTTGGAAATACATCCGATAGATCTTCATCTCTCTTTTTATATTTGTAGAACCAACTATATTTCCAAATATCAGTCGAATCTTCTTCGATTCCCATGTCATCTAGCTCCTTCTGAGTTTTCCGTATTCATTGGCCATATCGGGGAACCTTTTGTGACTACAACTGCACTTCGCATTGCCAACTTAGGCAGCACATGAAAACTCTTCGGTGATGAACTGAGTGCTCATATTGGATTTCATGATGTTGGAGAGCACGGAGTACGGTTTATGCCACTCTTATTGTGGTTGACGTTTCAAGAAATCTCTCGGCTTATTGACGGCAGCTTGAAGTACACTCAGTGAACAAAAAGTAAGGTGAATTTGTTTGTAAATTTATACAACGATTATGTCGCCTTAAAAATAGTCCCATGCCGATGCAATTCACTTATGACAACGCTTTTTCCAATTAACGAAGCATGTCAAATAGTCACGTTCTGGTATGGCCTTCAGAGAGCGCGACGATTCACGATTAAACTCCTCAATCTACTCAAGACGGTGTCCTCGATTTGGTCTATTGAGTTTTTAGAAGAGCCAGAAGTGTCTCATGGTGCTACGTCTGGCGAATATGGTGGTTGGGGAACGATATTGGTGGAATTTTTAGCGAAATGATCACAATAATAGTGTTTCGAGGTATTACTGAGGTCTTTTGGCAATCATTATTTTGTAGCACGTAAATGTATGTTTGTATATGTAATTACAATATGTGTGGCCTTTATGTACTAACCATAGCTACAGTGACTACACGTTTGTTTTAGCCCAGCCTAAACGTTCAATGCTTTATATATTTTCTATTTTTCTTTCCCTTTACCGGAGTTCTGTTTACGTTGCAGCTCCCCCTCATTTTATCTCGTAAAAATCTTATAGTTCCTCTCTCTCTGTGGCAGCGGCGATCTTTTCTCGTTCTCTCTTACACAAACAATATGTTTCGCCTCTCTTGTACGAACGCAAATTTCTCTCGCTAAAGAAGTTTCACTTTAAAAATCTCCTCAATAGTGATTTTATTTCCCTGCTAATAATAACTTTATCGCCAGAGTTTTATTGCCTGGAGGAGCTGTTTTTGTGAATGAGAATGATCCAGCACGATTAGAGTTGACAAATCATTGCGTTACCGCAGCCCGAATAATAATAGAAATTGCAAAGAAGAAACACAATGAAGGCATTCATTTACCTGTTTGGGGAACATGTCTTGGATTTCAACTTTTAATTATGTATACAACCGATATGGCGAATACTGCTTATGGTAGAGATCCACGAGAAAAATGCCAATATATGAATTGCTATTTACCAGTGGAATTTTTACCAGGTAATCTTTTAAGACTGCTTTGTTTCTATTACTTTTACTCTAATATAATACATTTAATCACAGATTTCCGTGAATCGCGATTATTAGCAAAGTTATCTGCTGAACTTCAGAGAAAAATGAAAATTGAACCCTTTGGTAATCATCGTCATATGTATTGCGTAAGCATTGAGGTAAATTTTTTTTTTACAAATACATATATATATATAACATTTAAAAATCGGACCGAACCGATTTTCGGCCGATTTCGGTGGAATCAAAACCACGGCGGCTGCGATAGCCTTGCATTTGTGTACTGCCACTCAGAAGGCCAAACTTAGAGAAAATTAATTTGTACAGAAAATTAAGTAGAATTTTCTAACTGCGGTCGCCACTCGGCAAGGAAAGTTAAACTCTCCGATTGTATTTCTGACATAAATAAAAAAGCTCCTCATAAAAATCCATCGGCTGTTCGGAGGCTCAAACCTCTGCTCAAATGAGAAATCAAAATAAGCCTCAGTTGGGATACCCAATTTCAATACCGACCTCTACAAACATTTTAACTGGACCCATAATTGAGAAGGTGTTAATATGGGAATGACTATTTTCCGAAGTAGTATTTGGGAAAGTATGCAGGAATGACAGTTCATGTCCGGATAAAACTTCGAGTAAGTCCGGTGTCCTAGGGAATTTAGAGATTTTAGTTACCTCTTACGACAGACCTGCCTTACCGTGAGAAAATACTTAAACCCCTATTCCGTGGAATACTTATTCAGCACATCGTTTTTATGCAGAGGAACACAAACCTTCCGCAACACTGTTTTTTCGAAGACTTCTAAAGCAGACTAATTACATTTTACTTAGTTTTCAATGATGAGTCTTTTTCAGAACTCAATAATTCCTCTTCAATTGCCAGCTCAGTTGAATGTAGCACCTATTGAGAAGAATATTACTTGAGATCAGAAGATCTTTCGTCTTGCTCTCATTTAATACAAGACCCATTCGCTTTCCATGCTTAACTAGTCTGGAGATCAGTTATCCAAGTACAATGTAATATTTAATCTTCTGTTTTGTTCTCTGGCAATTAACTTAAGGAGTCCAACTCTTTGATTCCTACATGACTATTCCCGATCTTGATACCTTAAGAAGTCGCTCATATAAATTTCGAGCATTTTCACTGTAGACTTACATATGTAATTTCAAACTAACATCGCGGGTTTCACTCTTTCTCTGGACATAAGATCACCTCGCTACTCTCTCTTGCACCCACGATCAGGTTGTCGCCGATAGGCAGTATTCCTTCTCTAAGCTGCAATGCGATAATTCTCTAACTAGAAAATATTCTTTATGTCTAGTCGAATTTTCGTTATTCAGTTTTCTAATATCAATTTGCCTTATTATTTAAAGAAGTTTTATTTATTCTTTTCGCATAAAGTTTTGTAAAACAATCAACGATGATTGGCATGTATTGGCGAAGAACAAAGACGGCCATGGCTTGGAGTTTGCATCAATTATGGAGCATCGCAGGTAGTTAACACACATACACATGTAAACTAAGTTTAATATTCTTTATTATTTCACATTTGCATTGCTTAGGTATTACTTTTTCGGCACACAATTTCATCCTGAATCGCATTGCTCGCCACAATGTCAGCCAGTAAAAGATTACTTATCGAATTTTTTTGTAAATCAATGTCGCCTCTGTAAAAATCGCTTTGGCAATATTGACGATGCTAAGCGACACTTGATAAGGAATTTTCCCATTACCAGCGAAGGAAAACGCCATGCACGTGTATTTAGTGAGTTGACGGATTATCCTCCAGAGTAGAGCGGAAAATGGCTGTCAATGAAACCGACTGTATTAATTTATGGCTGTTAAATTATTTATGCAAATGATATTTTTTATGATATATTTTTTTTTTTTATGATTGACATTAAGCACTTATGTGATATACTTTTGATTGTTTTGCTGCTGATATCGCAGGAATTATGTATACAATAATATTTACTGTACATTATATGGAATTTCAAAATAAATTATTATCTCATGAACATTTTCTTTGTGGCTACTCTCTCCGAAGCGTATTTCTCTAAGACGATCTGAGTGCGGGTAGCAGCACTGAGGTGACCATGGCAGAAATTAACCAAAAAGTTGAAAAAATGTCCTCGACGGAGGCTTATAGTCGAGCAACAATTCATAGAAATGGGTGGGGAATCAGGTATAATTATTTTTAAAATTCTGCCCGATCCACTTGGCATGATTAAGGCTTGCGCAAGATGGGTTCAGAAAATTCTCACAGATACGCGAAAACAAGAGCCACAAGAATCGTGTTGCATATGGTGGACTTCGATGTTTTGAATCACCCACTCTACAGTGCAGAACTGGCTCCACGTGATTATTACTTGTTTCCAAAAATGACAAAAGAGCTGAGGAATAAAAAATTTATCAACGATAATGAAGTCAATGCAGCAGTTTCAGCGTATTTTAAAGAGAAAGAGGAAATATTTTTTTAGGGAGTGTAAATAAATTAACGGAAAGATCTGAGTGATGTATGCGTGCATATATTGAAAAGGAAAAATAATTTGGTCCTTTTTAATTCCAGCTTTTTTTTCCTTATTCCGCGCACATAAAAAACGCATCATTATGTACACATGCTTATGAATAATTAATTATGAACTAATGAAGAAGTACTCAACAAATGGGTATGTATGTTAACATCCTAACATATCTAAAAAAGCTCCTTGCAAAAGCAAAGTAAATATATATTTACTTATAAATAATATTATAATTCACGCTTAAGAACCGTTGTAAGGATTTATGGCCGAGCTTCTCTCTTGTTTCTTGTGTTGTGCGTCTTAATATTTTGACAACATATGGGGCAACCTACAAGCCGTCTACGAACGGCTGAAGGATTTTCACAAGGTGTTCTATATCAGAAATGCATTCGGAGGAACTAAAATTCCCTGTCGATGGATGAACAATTAGAAAAACTATTTTTTATTTTTTCAATTAAGTTTCTAGTAATACAGAAGTTGATCCATCCAGATTTTCAACTCATGACCTTCCTTATGGTAGCACGCACTGCAAACCTCTCCTCTACTGCTGTATTTTTTTTATGTTATAAAATTCGGGTATCCCATAAGGCACTGAGTCAAAAGTTGGCGAAGGAGGAAAATCAAAAGCATTGCGGCTGGGAGCCTTCGTGTAAGAACTTTCCAAGGATTAAAATACAAACGCTTTGTTGCTTTCAAATAATATTTATATTTAAATGTATAACCATTTAGGCAAGCACATAAATGAGCCAGCGAAACACTCGTTTATATACAATAAATATGTGTGTTGGTGGCGCATACCTTGCCACTTGTTTTCACTGAGCATGCCCTGCAGAAAAATCTTCTTCAAAAGTAAAAAATGAGTTTTGCTATTCTAAATGAGGTAGTCGCTGGGCACCATCGATAATTTTCATACTCAGCCTTCAATATAAATTACATATAATGTAATGTAATCACAAACCTCACTGCGTCAATGCTTTTCAGAAAATATCCGGTTAGCGAAAGGAAAACCAAAGAGTTCCGGCAACAGCGCACGTTAAGGTGTTGAATTAGTTCAAGACACACCTGTTTGAAAACAGAGCGCATAGACGAATACCTCCTTGAGTTTTTTTCCGACAGTAATGTAGTAGTGAAAATCCTTGCGCGAAATTTCGTGTGATTCCGCTTTGACTAAGACAATATGAGTGCACCGGAAGCCAGGATTAGCTGTTTGAGTAAACCTAACAAATTGTCAAATTTCCGCTCCTCATAAACTGGTATGACTTAACTACTAAAATACCAGTTAAAAGATAAAGCAAACAGTAGATTTTTCCAGCGGGGATGCTTTTCGAAAAATTATTGGCATGAATAATGCTGTGCTTTCCTTTGACAGTGCAAACTCTTTCCTTGTCTCTTTATTTTTTGGCGGAAACTCACATGGCAACGGTGTAACTTCAGTGGAAATTGATTTTCTTTTGATGCGCTATTGAGACCAAGGGATGTGTGATGTCAAAATGTGTGTATATAAACAGTCACTTAGTATTGTAGAGTCATAAAATTTATATAATATTATAATATATATATAAATGTATATTACGTTCAAAATAAGATTCTTGGCATTCATGGCAGTATTGCGTTTCCTCCAAACTTTTGTTCCTCTACAAATAGCACCCTGTTCTAGACCTCTTTTTACTTATGTGAGGCTTCTTGCGTGGAGTTCTGCTACGGAATCCTTCTTTTTCAAGAGTCTTTGTCAATTTTGTAGCATACACCTTGGGTATTTAGGTTACTTCATCACGGTTGAAGAAGATGTCTTTGCACGGCCACTTCGCGGCTTACTCTCGAATGAACTCGACTCTGTAGAGTTTTCCTAAATTTTTTGCACCGTCGGTTTGCTCTCCGCACAGCCACAGGAATTTCTATTCGAGGAGACATTTTCGCGGTTTTATTTTTTTTTGTTTCAAAAGACGAAAAACAATGAAAAATAATAAAAGTATGCATAGAGTTAAACTTTATTGTACCGTTTGGTCTCAGCTGAGAGAAAGAATCGCAGATATAATTAACCAACGAAACATACGTGTATGTTCACTTTTAACAGAGCGCTTTTTCAGTTTTTTTTTGCTAATAACTTTTAAAGCTAATGTTGTTGGTTTAGGTATTTTAATTAAATTTAAAACAAGACTGCATCATTACTTTTCATTCAAAAGCTATAAAACGTCATAAATTCCATAAAAGAGGTGGTATGGTGTGCGGACTTTGGTCCGCCACTGTACATACATATGTTTGTCTTACAAATATTCTTGGTATAGTTAGTAACTAACGGTTACTATTTTTAAACAAACACTTTAGTAAATGGTGTGTGGTGGCATGTGTATGTTTATTTTCTTACAATTTTATCAGCAAAGGTGAGTGCATCAAATATGATATTCATGCCCAACGCTCTTCTCGAAATATTATACGAAACACTCAATTAAGAAACCTAATAAGAGGTGTGAACTACACTTGCTGCGCCTACACAGTGCCGACGCGACTGGTTAAGGACCTTAGGTGAAGCTGCATGTGTGCATATTTTTTGTATCTCTTATATTGTTCATACATATGTTAAACACATATAGATAGAGCAACTGAGGTCACACTAATAGGGTTTCAACGCTCGCAAATATTGTAATTCTTATACGCTCATACACACATACATATTATGAATAAATAAATTGTATGTAGACGAAAATGGCTAAATAAGTGACAAACATGATGACAATCGTCTAATGATTCTGGCTACTGCTTAGATTTGGCGACATATGTACATATCCTGCAGGGAAAAATACTAGTTGTTAACTAGAATCCAACTAGTTACTTTTCCATCTATTTCCCATGAAAACAACTGGTATTTTTAATACGGTCATGCTCTACGGATGGTCAATTCTATTAGGCCGAAAAGCTTCTTACGAGCTGTATAACAGTTTATATATACCAGTTAAAATACTGCTTATTTCATACCAGTTGAGAACTAGTTCAGCACAGATATTATAAACGGTTGAACCGATTTTAATGAATTTTTTTGTAGAAAAACTCCACTCAAGGGAAGTTGCCTATAGAGCAATTTATTTGAAAAAACGCGTTTATGGTTCTCTTTATTTGAGATTTTGTACACTATATCTTTCCAGGAAGTGGATCAGATATCGATCTATGCATTTGATTGGATTGTTCACCTTCTTTTTTACAATTCATAAGAGTATAAGCAAACCAAAATTATATATGGTTGTTGTTGTTGTAGTGCAAAGTCTAATAATCTGTGGCCGGAGCTTCTAGTTCCCAATGAGTTCTGCTGTTTTTTTTCTCCAAAACGACAAACTGGTATAAATTGGTAGTTCATTTACTGTAATTTTTATAAACTCGTCCAGATTTTCTTGAAAAATACCAGTAAAATTTTGGTGTATGACAAACTAGTATTTTTTTGACCCTTTAAATACTAGTATAATTCTGATTTACAAGAAACGGGTATCATTTTCAAAATATTAGTATTTAACTGGAACGTTTCCTATTGATCCACCTTTTTCCTGCAGGGTACTTACACATATTCTAGTACATATGCCGTTAGTGATGGCATTTGAGCGATTCTATTTGTGGATTACGCTTTATTATAGTTTTTGGTTATCTACAGGAGGCTCATATTAATATTATTATTAATATTATTTTTTTGAAAACTATTTATTTCAGTATAGCTTGGGTACCTCTGGAAACGAGCATATGGTTCGCACATACAAACATAGGTAAGTTGAGAGACCACAACGTCAATGCCATTGACTGAAGTCCAACCAATGGTTTTATGCCTGGCGGAACTGCAACAACATTGGGTATATAATTTTTATTTGGTTGAGGAAAGAATTCATAGCTGGGATTACCAATTATTCGAAATTGGATTCTTTATGGTGGAATTCCCGCCAGGAAGATCAGACAACAAACATAAACTATTCTCCTATACGCTAGATAACTCAGCATATTTAATTTGGCTTAAAAACTAAACAAAATCCAACCAACAACAACCGTATACACTTGTCATGGCCACGGCCGATTGTTATCCTTTTCGGAACTCGAATCACCATGTAGGGGAACACGTGTTTAGTCTCCTTAGAAGATAATTGGGAATTTGTGATGAGAACTGAGATTTTTCTGCCTCTTCATTGGCGTGGGTAGCGCTTATGCGATTATTGCCGAATCTACAATAGCACACCATTCGGTTATTATCTTCACTTTTTGGCGCCAGTTGGAAATATGCAGTCTTTTCAGGTTTAATTTAATTTGATCTACTGTGAAGTATTCGTCAGCGACAGACGTGGTATCATGCTGAAGATCATTGGTTTGATTCCTGATTTATTTTTCTTATTGTAGACGATCCTTGGGAGACAAATAATAACAAGCTGCCTCCGTAAAATTGTAGATGAAATATCAGGACTCACCAAATTGGAGAAGG